CAGAGACCCAGCAAGAATGACATGCCTTTGGTGGACTTCACTGAACAGTTTATAAAAAGATTATTTACAGAGCAAGGTCAAGAGACACAAGGACAAAAAGAGATGCCCCCAGGACCAAGAGCTGGCAGCAATTCCCCCTCGACCAGAGGAGGCAGAGAAGAGTCCCTAGAACGCAGGCGAAGCTCTGGAAAAGGCACAAATACCCTGGCAAACACACCTTCTCCCTGCTCTCTGATTTCCCAGCTGTGTATCCCATTGCCAAGTCCAGCTGGAAGCCAGAGGGCAAAAGGTTAAAGATATATTGACGCCCTAGGCACAGAGCAGGCCAGAGACTGGACCTAGGGAAATGAGAGACCCGCCCAGGTGCCCAGGATCCCAGAGCTGGGAAGGCTGACTCAAAACGCAGGTAACTGGAGGCCGAGTCCTGCCCCCCGAGATGTCCCAGAGGGCTGTCTGGGAAAGGGGTTTGAGGGCAGCCATACTGGGGACAAGATACTGGACTCTAGTCCAGGCTCTGCTGCTCTGCCCTGTGGCCTGAGTGAGAAACTGGGCCTCAGTTTCCCCTTTCCGTAAAGAGGAGGTAGGTGCCACTCTGGGACAGCTGAGGTGCCCAGGACAGAGCCTCCCTTCCCACCGCCATCCTCTCCCTTACTTCAGATAAACTTGGCTCCAAAGGCTGAAGCCTTAGGCGTGGAGACACTGAGTCCCTGAGGAGGCCACCCCCTGTGATTAAGCAACCACACCCCCTCTGCTGCCCACTGAGGACTCGGTGTTCTTGGGTGAACCCCCTTCGATCTCCCGGAGAGCCCAGTGCCTGGGTCTCTCCTCCCTTCATATTGCATTCACTGATCCACAACTCAGGGGACCCCACTCTAGGACAGGACCCCTCATCCAAGTAAGGAGGCCCTAGCCCCCTGCAGGCAGCCCCTTTGCAACAGATCTATCCTGGGGACATTGGGGGCCATCTCTGGCTTCTGGGGGTCCCTGTACAAGGTAGAGTAGTTCCTTCCCACCCCACCCAACACTACCTCACCTATGCTTCCCCAAGCCTGAGGGGGATGCCCCACCCAGGTTCTCAGACAAACAAAATCCAAAGAAAAGAGTTACAAGGAGGGAGCTCATTACCAGGAATTAAGGAGGAGGCATGCCCCAGGGTAAACCAGGCAGAACTTTGCCAGCAGGAGAGCGGCTATAAGTACACACAGATGCGTTTGGAGATGCACAAGATGTTCACTTAGAAATACACAAAGCAAAATCCAGATTGAGAGAGGGAGGCAGCAGCAGAGATGTGGCCAGCCAGATACCCAGACCCACAGAGACATAATCAGAGGTACTGAGAAAGGGCAGTCACGCCCAGAAACACCAAGAACTCACACTTGCCCGTGTGCACACACCGAGGCAGGCACACAAGGAAACAGGAACCAAGCTCCGGTTTCAGAGAGGCCAATTTCAATCCAAACAACTTAGAACTTCACAGAAACATGGGCAGGCTGTGGAGAGGACTATACTCAGGAGAAGGGACAGAGGGGAGATGTGGGGTCTGGTTATCCTCCTGTGCAGTGATTCTCCCTCCAAGTCCACCCTGGAAAAAGCATTAGGTGGACTGGAGAAGAGACTTTCCAAAAGGAAAGGAAGACTTTCTAGAACTTACTATCAGCAAAATGGCTGATGGGAGGCATGCCTGCAAGTAAGTGGAGAGATGGGGGGATGGGCGGCGTCCCACCTGCCCCTGTAGGGATCACACACTGCTACTCACTTAAGTCCCTACAGCCCCTGCTGTGCCCCACCACCCTGGCCTCAGCTGGTCCTGACTTCTTGGGTGGTCTGACCTCCATCTAATAGGTTCTTTGAATGCCAGCTCCCCTACCTTACACTCCTGTGCGCCTGGTCCCCTCTTGTGTCTCTTTTCCATCTCTCCCCAAAAGTCTCCTCAAGCCAGGGCACACTGAACCATCACCCCCACTCTCTCCCCACCCCCTCTCTCAGGAAATGCAGGAAGGAATCTGGCAGAAGAGGGTGGTCAAATTCAATGACCATTAAAAAACAGCCTTCAGGGCCTGCCATCTACAGCCACTGCAGCAAAAGTTCAATCCCCGGCCAGGGAGCTACCCATATGGCGCAGCAGACCTCTCCTGTCTCGCCTGCTGCTCCCCTCAGCAGTGTGTTTCAGTAGATCTGCCTGTTCTGCTCCCCACTCTGTCTCTGGTGAATCTGTTGTAGAGTAACCCCGATACAAAACGGGGTGCCTGACTGTGGGTCCTCACCCGCGCGCTTCAAAGGACTTATCAATGCTCTACTGCAGGCACACGCGAAAGGTTAATAAAAGGTTTATTTACAAGGGAAGGGGAAATGAGGAAATGTACAGCTCAGGGAGAAAAGTGGGAGACAAAGTTTTAAATGAGTCCTACCCGATCCGCTGATCAGGAATCCCAAAATGGCGCTCTGAGAGCTGGCCGCCAGCCAGGAGCCGTGCAGCCAGGAGGCGAGCGATAGCTAGAGAGCCCCCAAGGCCCACGTGTCAGGTTTTTATATCCAACCTGGCTGCCCAACTCCACCCTCAGGTCCCAGCCACCCTCCCTTGGTGGTGATGGGATTTGTCTTTCCCAATGTCCTGATGGCTTTAGTCTGGAGAGGGGGTGGGGTCCACAAAGCCTGCATGGGATTATCTCAGGACATCATTTCCCCCTAGCAAATCCTCTCACCTCCCCCACACCCCTTACCTCTGGCCTACACCCCAGTTCTTGTATGCATAAATAAATTTTAAAAATCTTTAAAAAAATAAAATAAAACAGCCTTTAGCATCTCTCTCTCCACCAGCACCACCCCCCTTCCCAGTTCTGCAGGAGAAATCATGATGTGATATTATTTACCACCCACTGACCACTGTGCTAAGTCATTTTCTTATCTTCCATTATCACCTGTTCTCCTTATCCCTCAATTCACAGATGAGGAAACTGAAATTCAGGCTTTTGAAGAGGACCACACTAAGGTAGCACAGCTAGAGAGAGGCCAAGCTGGGCCTGGAGTCCAGGTTTGACTACCTGTTAACCACTGCACCAGAAGGGCCCCATCACTCTCTGGGCTGACTGGTCAGGGTCCACTGTAAGATTTGAAAGGGATGACAGAAGGCTTGGGGCCTGCTGGGCAGGACAGCAGGGTGGGGGACTGAGGTGGGACCTGTGTAGATGGAACGAAACTCTGCAGTCACTTTCCCCTCCCAAGATTTGCCCTTCCTCTCCCCCCAGGGCCTGGGAAGGGGACACTCCCTCTGGCTCAGCTCCCTCTGACATTCCAGACACGCCTCCTGGGAGTTGGGGACAAGGAGGGAGTGGAGACCTGAGGTGGAACTGCATTCTCCAACCTCCACTTCCCCAAAGTCCTGGCTGTGTGACCCTGTATTGATACCCACCCTCTCTGAGCCATGGTCTTCTCATCTGAAATGACTGGGGAGCAAGAGTTAGTTTAGCCTCTAAAAAACTGCAGTTCTTCTGTGGGACCCAGGGATCCTCTGGCTCCAGTGGGGTTAACTCTGCAGGAGGGCCCGGGTGGGGGCCCTCTTCCCTTTGAATCTCAGTGAAACTTGAGGAGAGTTAAAGTAGTGAGAAGAGGCACGTGATTTCCTTACAGTTTCCTGGGCCCCTTGCCTCCCTGGGCTGCCAGGATGCCAGAGACAGTCCAACCCCAGACTTACAGGATAGAGGTGCCTCAGAGTGAAGAACTGCAGCAGGGGGGAGACAGAGATGAATGCAGTCATGGTCTCTGGGCTCAGACAACTGACTGTGGAAGGTAGCGGAATAGTGCGGAAATAAACAGGGATGACTTCCTGGAGGAGGAGGCATTAGAGTAAGATTTTAGTGAGCAAAGATGTGAGTGAGACTTTAGGGGGAAGGTCTGAAGATAGGAGATGACAGGAGTGCATAAAATCTGGGGTGCATAAAGCACTGCCAGCAGCCAGAAGCCAGGTCTTGAAGGACCTGAGCGCAGGATGGAGATTTTCTCTGCCCCATTTTCAGCATGGGTTTTAGAATGATCCTCTGGTTGCTGTATGGACCAAATGGAGCAGGTTTGCTGGCAGGGAGACTGCGCTAAGGGAGCTGTGGACAAGGTCTAGGTGGTGGTGATGGAGCCTGAACAGCTTTGACCTGTAGAAAACCATGCCAGTTACCAGTCTGATTGGTTTCCTCCAGCAACAAGGAGCTCACTACTTTTGGATAGCAATCCTCTCCTAAGGGCAGCTGCGCCTAGGAGAAAGTTTTTTCCCTATGCTAGGCTCAAGCCTGCCTTCGTGGGGGATGTATTGGTCCAGGGATAGGAAAGGAGTTGTGCCAGGGGTCTCTGACCCCTGTGTGTGACTGACCCCTGCCACCCAGGGCACAGCTGATGTACTGTTCCCCGTGTTATACCCTGGCCAAGTGACAGACCCAGCTGGGCAGCCTGGGTATTTGTGACCAGACACACTCAATTTCCTTCATTAACCCCAGAAAAAAATCCAGAGCAAGCAGAAAGATATCTGCATAATTGGCGGTGTTATACATACATTTTATTTTTTTTTATAAAAGGCAAAAGAATACATACATTGAGTGAAAGATGAAAGGAGTGAGGACCTTATTTAAAGTAGAGTCTCCCAACTCCCATCCCTAAGACTGTAACATCTGCTATATATATATTTTTTTTTTTAAAAAAAAGAGCGACATGAAACTTATGACCTGAACTTTATCCCACCCCCTCATGCCTACATTATTGCAGAAACATATTACTCAGCCCCCACTTATGGATGGCCGGAGTTGCAAACCTGGGGTGTGGTCCCTCCTGACCCAGCCATACCCACACCTCCCATCCCCAAAGCATAGAGAAGCTCCCTACTTAGGAAAAAGGGCACACACATGCACGCACACACACACACACAAATAAAAACATAGATCTGGACTCTCTTCCGCATGGAGCCCCGGAAACATGCAGACCCCAGGCGCTTTCCTCACTCACAGATGGACCACTCACTTACCCCCTCCACCCTCTCGCCTCCCCCACCCAGCTTGATCCCTTGTCCTGAAGATCCAGGAACCCACACACATGCCTGTGCACACACACTCACACACCAGTCGCCCATCCTCAGCCTCTGGGAGACAAAGGAATAGGGTGACCCTACTCCCTGTCCCACCAGCTTAAGGGCAGTGGCCTAAGATCCTATGTGGGCGGAATCCAGTGGGAAATCCTGAGAGGAGGCTGTCCACTGGGGTGGGGTGTAGACAAAGAGCTTCTTAGCCTGGGAGAGGGCTCGTGAGGGGCTTCTAGGGAGCAGCCCCTGCAAAGTCAGTGGATGTTCCGGGAGGTTGCCGGAGGGGGGGTGTCCCCTGCCCACTCAGATCTACTCCTTGTGCTTCACTTGGGCCAGCTTCACGTTCTCTTCCTCGGTGGAGGGTGGGGGCGGCTCCAGGTGGCAACCAATCATGAGCTGGTACACCAAGACGCCCGCGATGGAGCCCAGCAGAGGAGACACGATGGGCACCCACCACCAGTGGCGGCCGGTCCTGCGGGAGGGCAGATGTATGTGGTGAGGGGTGGGGGGTACAGGGCAGAGGAGAGGCAAGTTGGGGCACTCTGGGTGGGGACTGCACTCACGTGAAGACTTCCGTGCCCCAGCCAGCGATGGCGGTGAAAAGGCGGGGGCCGAAGTCCCTGGCGGGGTTGACGGCATAGCCAGAGTTGAAGCCCATGGAGGTGCCGATGACCAGGACCACCAGGCCCACTGTGAAGGCCTCCAGGCCACGAGGGACAGGGTTGTTGTAGGGGTCCACGATGGCCAGCACACACACGATGAGGGAAGCTGTGCCAATGAACTGGGGTGCAGGGAGAGAGTGGGGAGACCAGAGTGAGGAGCACCTCCCAGGCCTCCCTCAGATCCCTCCTTCCATCCTCTGGCTTCCCTCCACCCTTTAGTCTTATCATCTCCTGGCTGTGCTCTCAGGAGCAATGGTGCTAGAAGCTTTGCATTGTTAGGATCTCCTGGGGAGCTGGTTAAATAGGAACCTGCATGTTTTATAAGTGCCTGACACCATGAGTCTGAAGGGGGTGTCTCCACATATTGAGAAACCATAGACCAAGAGTCCTGTCCCCCAGCCAACCCATGAGGCAGTCAGGGCAGCTTGGTCCTCCTCCCTGTGTCCCCATCACATGGCCCTGGCCCATACCTGGTCAAAGAAGCCGTTGACCATGTCCAAGTGTCCGGAGGGATAGGTGGCAAAGATGCCAGCTGTGCCATTGGGGCCGGTGACTATAAGCTCATTGTTGGCGAAGGCCCAGATTGCATCTGGTGACAAATTAGACCCAGGGAGGTTGAGGCAGAGGCCTGAGCCTGGTCTCCCCCTTCAGGCTGGCCCTCCCGACCCTCCAAGGGTCACAGGTGAGTACAATCATCTCTGTAATTCTCTGGAGAGAGAGGGACTGGGGTGGAGGGTCCAAGACTCTTGTTGCACAACCCGTTTCTTTCCCCTCAGCCCCCCACGTGGGCCTGTGCGTAAATGAGTGAGTCATGAGCCCAGGGCCTGGGCAGGCCCCAAATGTTTGTCATCAAAAGGCCCAGTGCCAGCAGGTCCCAAGCAGAGAGAGGTGGGTAGCAGAGGAGGGCGGGAAAGGGAATGCTCACCATAATACAGCCCAAAAACGATCCCAGCACCCAGGAAGGCTCCCAGAGTCTGAGCCAAGGCGTAGATGGGCAATTTGATCCATGGCTCACGTGCCAGAAAGCACATGGCAAAGGTCACAGCAGGGTTCAGATGGGCTCCTGAGGAAGAGAGGAGAAGGGACCGATTAATCACAGTCTGCCATGGTGGGGAGGCCAGAACCCCGGGGCCCACATCTCCTTCTTTGTGCCTCTGAACATAGCACAAAGAAGGACTTTTTAAATGGATGGTGGGTTGGACTATGTAAGAGGCCAACTCTGATAATCTCGGATTCCAAGCTGAGAGTGGAAGGTTCTAAGCATCGAGTTCCTTCTCTACTCTCCCATGAATTCAAACCTAAGGCCACAGCCATGTGCCACCCTCAGGAACACCTCACCACCCACTCCCCATGGGAATGTTCTTGAGGGGTATGACGAGGCTAAGACCTTACCGGAGACCTGACCAGCGACCAGGATGGCCAGAGTGACAGCAAAGCCGAAAGCCAGGTTGATGGTGAGGAAGCCACCATGGGTGCCCCGGCTGAGCACAACCTGGGCCACGGAGCCACAGCCAAACATCTGTGTTAAAAAACAGAACAAGACAGGGGGGGTGAGACCCAGCCAAGACCACTCCACAGGGTAGGGATAAAGCCAGTGACCTCCATATCCCTATATCAAGAGGGAAATGCAACCTGAACCCCCGCCTGCCACAAGTGCACCCCACAGGAGGCATGCCCTCCCACTCCCAGCGTGCCAACTTTAATATAACAGGGTCCCACAGAAGGCACTGGAAGCAGAGTCTATGACCGGGAACCCAAAAGATGGTCTAACCACCATGATTAATTTTCCTGGAATCTCTATACTTTCTCCTCAGCACCGTCCTTCAGGCCTGGCCCAGAGGGAGGTGGGGAAGTGTTCACTCGTCCCCAACCAGCAGCTGCCTCCCTCTTTGCCCCAAAGCAGAGCTCAGTTGGTGGTGGTGATGGGGGAAGAAATAAGGAGGCCAGAAGTTCCGTGGAACCCACTTCTGAGTCTGGGATGTCACATTCCCTGCCTACCCACACCTACTCACCTTGCAATCCGAGATTATCAGAGTTGGCCTCTTACATAGTCCAACCCACCATCCACCATCCACTCCCTCTCAGACCTTTACCCACCTTGACCTTAACCTGCCCCAGAGCCTCCTCTCTCCACCCACCTATCTTCTTGCCCTCAGGGGACCAGGTTCCCCTCTCAGATTTGCAGGTCCTAAAAACAGATCTGATGCTCTTGCACTAGCCCTGATCCAGGACCCAGAGTAGTGGAAATGGGGAGACTGGGTTTAAGTTATCTGCCAGAGCTGGGGGGACTCAGGGGATGGAGGTCCCGCTGTCCTGCAAATGTCATTCTTCTAGTTCAAGTGTATCCATACTTCCATGCAACCTATAAAGAGTTGTTACTGTGAGCCCCCAAAATGTTCCCCAAAGCTGCTCCAATCCCTGCCCAAGGTGACCTCTCTCATCTCCCTAATACCAAAGATTTCATATCTACCCAGCAGATAGGTTTCAAGATCCGTGCTAAGGATTCTTGTCCATTCTGATGGTCAGTGCCCTGGGTTAAGTATTTTGATTATTATCCCTCAGAAAGACCAAGAGATAGAAGAGAAGCCAGAGGCTGTGATGCAGGGCCAAGATAGGCAGGCAGGTGCAAACCTGAGCAAAGATCAGATTGTGAGTATGTGAAGGGGGCGGGTGGGCAGGCATGTGAGGGTCTGGGGCACCCGCCCGGCTTGGTAGGTCCTGGACTCAACTCTCTGCCTGCCTGAGGCCCAAACCTGGCTCCATCCCAGGAGACCTTGGAGGGAGAAGCTGTCAGAGCCAGTTCCACCACCTTGCTACTAATCTTCCTCTTCCTTTCCCTTTCTTCTGCTCCCCACTACCCCCTCCCCAGCCTTACCCTTACTAGATACCCCAGAGACCAGGACTCCCCTTGGCCCAAAGTCAGTCCTGATTCTGCATCTGTAGGCTCTAGGTCTCCAACCCACAGAGATCGAGCCCTCACCTGCCATTCAGGGGTGTCCCAGGGGTGGGCCCTGCTCTCAGGCAGCCCTTTTGGTCCTGCTCTCCACTGACATCCGATGCCTCACACCCACCTGGGCCTGAATGTCGACTCTCCGCCAAAGAAATACCTTCCTTTCGTGGTCTGGGATAAGCCAAATGATCCTGGGACTGAGCATGAGACCTGACTGCTCCTTTGTGGGGAAGGCAAATGAGACTTGGGAGGAATAGGACGGTGCCTCCAGGAAGGCAGAAGACAACTTTCCCTGTCCTGGATGTTCTCGAACAGGGGGTGGGACCATGAATCAGACAGGGAGTGGGGGATACAAGACTCTGGGGCAGGAGGGTGATAAGCACCTTAATCCCTTCTTGGCACAGGGTAGAGAAGGGGTGGGGATGACTGGTTGGGCTAGTCTTTTGAGGGCCTATGGATAAAGTGCCCCAACTGGCTTCCCCCCTTCCTGTTCTGATAGCTAAAGGTGAGTCTTGGTGCCCTGTTCCCATGGAGTCTTCTCCACCAACAACCACCACCCACCTGGGGTGGGCCACCCAATCCCTACTTGCCCCTAATTAAGCTTTCTCACCCGGTGGGGGGAGGGAGCTGCTGACTGGTCTGCAGCTGGGGCTGCAGCAATGGAGTAACTGAACCCAGAAGTAACGCAGGGAAAAACAGGTGTAATCACATGAGTGACTGAAGATCAGAGAGTAACTGGGACAGGAAATGGAGAGCATAACTGGCGTGTCTGCCAGACCCAAGGAGTGTAAACAGTCACCCAGGAACAATCCAGGGGCCAAAGTGGCACCAGCAGGTTGTAAGTGGGACTGGGGAGTCGTCAGCTCACCTCAGCAGGGGAAGTGCTCCCCTGGAGTAACTGAGAGGCTGGGGCGTAACTTGGTGCTTCTGCAGAGCTGACAGCACCTGTCTAGGTAACTGACACGGTCTGGAGTCACTACCAGGACTGAAGCTGTGTGCCTGGGGGCCCACCTGCCTTGCACAGCTCCCTATCTGGAGAATCTTCCCTTCTCCCCAGGTGGCCTCTGCCCTCTGCCCCCACCAGAAACAAACTGGCCTCACGTCATTGGAACTTTTGGACTTTCTGGGGCTTAATTATTCATTAGGGGCCAGACATTCAGGACCCAAATAACCTAACAGGGGCTCATTTGCCTCTGTCCCGCCTGCACCCCAAAGCTGGGACTCTGTGAGAGCCAAGAGGAGAGGCTGCAGGTCCGAGCTGGCAGGGGTGACCGCTGTCCCAGCTGTGGACTGGGTCATGGGAGGAAGGAAAAGGGTCGGAGCTGTCACAGGGAATCACAGGTGTCTTTCTGTCAAGGGGCAGAGCTGTCACGAGTGGGCACTCTGGAAGGAGTCAAGCCAGGGGAGGTCAGCGCTGGGACAGGACTCAGTGCTGTCGTGGAAAACCAGCCCTTGCGAGCTCAGAGGGATCCTGAAGGTTGAAGGTGGAAGTTGCAGAGAGAGAGAAGTGTCTGTCCCGGTCCCTCCACTCACCACGAGGATGAGGGTCCCCAGGCACTCGGCCAGCGCCTGGCGGAGCAGCCGGTAGCGGATGTGCAGCATCTCCCCGCAGCGGGCCACCAGCTCCTTCTGTCGACCCATGGCTCGGGGCGGGCGGCGGCGCGGGCGGGCGGGCGGAGGGCGGCTCGGAGGCGGCGGGCACAGCTGCAGTGGCCGCGGGAACCAGGGAGGCGCGATTTATAGGAGCGCTGGAGGCCCGCCCCGCCGCCCCGCCGCCCCGCCCGCTCAGCCCGCAGGGCCCGAGGAGTGGGCGGACCCTCCAACACCGCGCGCGCACACACACTCACATGCACACACACACTCACACTTGGGAGGGAGCTGATGAGGAAGGCAGGGGGTCGTGGTGTGCAAGGAGCTTTAGGAGTGGGGTTGCTCCTTCCCAGGGCCCTTAGGGGAGGGGTGTCCTGGGCTGTGGACAGAGCCAGGGGTAGTCGGGGGTATAGGCATGTGTGGGACCCCGACTGGGCCTGAGAATGGGGCTGCCAAGGAGACTCCCAGCCCACAGTGAGCCCTGCTCTCTTCTCCATCATGGCCTGGGCCAGGGAGACACGTGAGAAAGGAAAGTTGATGGTCCCAGCCCTACAGGATGATGGCTGGACCCAGCATGTCCCGGGGGCTGGTGGAAGGAGGCTGTGGGCACCCAGTGAGGAGACCCGCTCATAGTCCAGATCCCGGTGGACACACGGAACACAGGCGATGAGTTCCTGCGAGAGTTCATGGGTCCGGGCTCCGTGTGCTGTGGGTATGACATGTCACACCCTCCAGGCCCTGAGCAACTCTGCCCAGGCTGCATCCACCGTGTCTTATGTGCCTCATCACATTTGCTGGGATTCTTCACGGGCACTTGCCTGTTGAACACGGCTGGCTTAACTGAGCCTGTCACACGTGTACCTGAGTGCATGGTGCACATGGCTCCAGAGGCTGAGCAGCAGTTGTCCTGACATGCCACATCCACATGCTTGCCAACAGGGTGAGTTCCAGCTGTTTTTAACCTTCTGCTCTCCCTCTCTGGCTTATCACTAGCCAGGGGATAATCCTTCCCTTTAAGAGACTGAGCTGGTTAAACTGTAAGGTGTCAGCCCCTCCTGAGGGGGTCTATGGGACAGCCCTATTTTCTATCTTGAATTTAATAATCAGGAAACCAAGACCTGGTGGGCTGAAACCACAGAATTGGGAGCAAATATGTCTTTGCCCCAAGTCTCAATGGCAGCATCGTTAAGGGAGACCAAAGAAACCACATTTTCCAGAGGGGATGAATTTCTGGTGGGTCTAGAGCCCTGGGGACTTATCCCTTGAGGAATGGCTCTTAGAAATGAAGGCTCCAGGGGTGATTCATGCCCCAAAATATGGGGCTTAGCAGCACACAGAGAGTCATACACGTGTACCCTGAGGCTGGCAGCCACGCTGGCCGATATTCACACGAGAGCCTGGCCAGAAGCTCGTACATATATGCAACCTGCACACCAGGTCTCTAATGGCTCTTGGCCCAAAGAGAAGCACCCCACACCCCTGGGCCCCCACGGGCTGGGAGGCTCCATGGTGAATCAGGGAGCCATCACTGAGTGCCTGCCTGCTGGCCTCATTGCCAGCCTGTGACTCAAGGCAGAACTCTAAACTCCTGGTGCCAGAGTCCAAATTATGGGAATACGGGACACCCCCCACCCCAAAACAATCTACCTTCTCTTCACCCTACTCCATGGTGTTTCCCAGCCCCTCACTGCCTCAGGTGGGGCTATAAAGGCAGCACAAGGCAGTAAATGGCAAGGATCTCCTCAGTGAAAGAAAGTAAGAAACCACAAGCCACAGCACCCCATCCACACCCTGCCACACCCTGGGCCTGCCATCATGGAGCTTGGCAGTGGAGAATAGGGGCAGCTGTGCTACCAGCAGGCACATGCAAGACCCTTGTATACAGGTGTTTGTGCTCAGTTCCCAGGGGGTTCACATGAGCTGCACCAGGAGGGAGCAGGTCATGAACACAACCAGGCATTTGGTATCGTGTTTACATTAAGCAGCACTTGTTTACACATATGGATCTATGTGTACTCACACATGTGTGCGTGCATATATGTGCCTACATATAATCTTGGGGCTGCAGGTCACCATAGGGCATCTTTATGACTCCTCTAGTAGATACCAAAGCGCATGACTTAGCAGGTGAAACAAAGGCTGCATCTTGGGCCTCCCCGGTGGTGCAGGGGTTGAGCACAGCGCTGTGAAGCTGTCCGCAGCCTCTGCAGTACCGGTTCGATCCCGGCCGGCCGGTGAGCGTCTCACAAGGCGCGGCAGACCTCTCCTGTCTCACCTGCTGCTCCCCTCAACAGTGTATTTCAGTGAATCCTCTCACCCCCCACACCTCTGGACTGTACCCCTGCTCTTGTATAAATAAAATAAATCTTTAAAAAAAAAAAAAAGGCTGCATCTCAATGCCCCCTTCTCCCAATCAGGACCCAGACTTCAAGACGATGACCCCATAAGCTCCCACCAAATTCCTTCCTTTCCATAACACACTTTCATAAGTGTACATCACACATGCACTCTGGAATGTGTTAGGATTGAAGCTGAGGGGTTTGGGTTGGGTAGGTCTTTGTACTTCTTAGTGGCCTGAGATGACTCAGCCTGGAGGAGGGATGCAATGGTTTCCAAGAGTCCCTTGTTACTGCCAGCATTCCTAGAATCATCTGGCATAAAGAGGGGTCAGGGGCTGAGGATGCTTGTTCAGAGGGGCCAGGTTGGACCTGGGCTTGGGAACTGTAGCAGGATGTCAATGCTCAACACTAGGGAGGCATCATCCTCATTGTAGTCAATGTGAGTGGTGCCCCCTGGAGCAAAAGACAGAAGACAGCTTCAGAGAGGAGAGAGAGGTTGGTGAGGCCTTCACCAGTCACACAGGTTTCCCAGAGTCCTCTGGGCTCCCTCTTGTACTTTGAGAAGAAAAGCCAGGGCTGAGTGTAGGCTGGAAGTCAGCCTGCCTTGGAGCTCCAGGAGGAAGAAGAGGAGGCCCCACCTCCCAGGGCATCTTGAGCAAGGTCTGTGTCTCACCTGGGCGGGAGGGCTGAACCAGGGAAGGGGCCTTGACAGCCCATCCACCCTGTGGGAGGCCGTGACTCTTTGAGGTCAGAGCTGGGGGAGTGGGTTCCCAGGCAAGGGAAGGGCTGAAAATGCAAGTCCCAGCCTGCTGGACCAGAGGGGCTGGCTGGGGCCCTGTAAGGGGTGGCACACCCTTCATTTCCTGCCCCCCAAACTCCCTTTGGCCTGAATAGGAGCAGCCTGGACCAGCAGAGGAGACGTGAGCTTTGCTGTGAGCCAGTGGAATAGAGAAGAGTGGAGACAGAAATCATGCTCCTGCCCCCCAGCTTCTTCCAGAGCATTAGAGCTGGGTGGAAGAGGAGCAGGTCAAAGCCAACACTCAGACATTTCAAGTTCAGAAAGCACTTCCTCGCATTTGCAAAACAACCCCCAGAAGTAGGTGTATTTCCCCCCTTTCACCGATGACAAAACTGAGGATTGAAGAGAAGTCACCTACTAAGATCTCACTCAGCCACTGAGTGTTGAGCTGGGATTCAAACCCTGTGGGATGGGGAGGAGAGATGGGAAGGGGGCATAGGCAGAGAGCCAGGGCACAGGAATGTACTGCACCCTCCAGGCCTGAGCTCCCCTACCAGCGTGTGCCCTATTCCTATGCCGCTGATGGACGCTACTCCTGATTCTGGGCCTCAGGAGTTGGGGGCTGGCTCTGGATTGGAATGGGGAGTGGAAAGGAAAAAATGAATCACCCCATTATGAGCGTCCCTAGACTAGGGGGCAGGCAAGCAGCTCCTCCTACTGCGCCAACACAGTCACCCCCTGTCTCCGGACAACCCAGATGACAGGGAGCTTATGAGGACAAGCTGCCCTTTCAGGTGCCTCTAGCCTGACGATCAGTGGGATCTTGAGAAAATGTACCTTTTGACCCATATCCTGGAAACTCTGGGTTTACCTTCTAATGTTCCTGAGCTGCCCTTGGCACCCTTTGAGGGACAGCACCCTTTAAGGCTAGCAGAGGGTCTTAGTGAGGAGGCCGAGGGCTGGCATGATGGACCTAGACTCCCTGCTGAGGAAGACCCCAGTGTCAGGGGCCAGGCTGATGGGGGCAGAGCCCTCTTGCAGACCTAGGGCCTCAGCTCCATGCTTAGCTTGTCCACTACCCAGTAAGTTCTCAGTCTCTTCATCAATCACCTGGTCGTAAGGTTCCAGTGGAACATCTCCCCCTCACACCCAGCCCGGATCTCTGTAAGAATCAAACATGATCGTGGATGTTTCAGACTTTGGAAATTGTCTAGCACAGTCAACATCGAAGACAGCTTCATTCCAAAGCCGCCTCCATGATCATAGCCACATTTCCTCTGTCGCAGCCCACGTGCACTCTTGCCTGCAAGCTCCCACGGGGCCTGTGTGTCCATGTAAGTGACTGTAGGGTCCTCACAGGACTGTTTATATCCACGAGGGCCCATGCGTGCATGTGTGTGTCTAAGGGGGTCTGTGGGCCCATCTCTCTGTTCCTGCCGGGCCTGGCTGTGCATCTGGGCTAGTGTTTATAAAAGCCAGAGACAAGAGGTAGGGGCCTGTCAAGGAGCCTGCCCATGCCAGCCTGGAGGGAAGGTGTTAGTGACTTGGAGCTGACACAGACCAGGCCATCACTGCAAACAGGCCTAGGGGATCTGGTTCACACCTCAGGGACCAGATTCTTAGAGCTCAAGAACTTTCTGATTTCCCTCCTCACTGGCAGGAAGGCTCCTGGAACCAGAGTGGGGTTGCCTCAGAGGACGAGTGGTCAGACCAAGAAGGAAAGGAAAGAAAGCTAACAGTCTAACTGGGGTGCCTGAACAGGGCCCAGCATTTGCCAGGCCCTGCAACCAGAAAGAGAGCTGGAGCATCCTTTGGACTGAGGCGCTCGGAAGACTTCCTGGAGGAGGAAACATTTGGCTGGGGATTTTGTGGAGGGTTTTCCAGGTGAGAGATTTCTGGGTCAGACCCTGGTAGGGATGGCTGGCAGCCTGGTTCATGATGAGAGCGGCTCTAGTAAGGCTGGAGGGGGACATGGGCAGCATGAGAAGGGCCTTGAGTTCTATAGGTAGGACCTTATCCATGGAACCAGAGATATTCAAGCTTCTTTAAGCCTCAGGGCTCTGAGGAAGCTCTCAGAGGGACTGCTGCAGCTGGAGAGGGGGAAAGCGAAGCCAAGGAGGCAGAGTCCATGCCCCCACTCCTGCTTCAACCACTACATTTTAACTACTTTCTATCAGGGTTCTGAACAAGGTTAGAATGGAGGGCCTCCCTGGTGGCACAGCAGGCTGAGCTCTGCGCTGTGAAGCAGTCCGCAACCCCTGTGGCACAAGTTCAATTCCCGGGCGCCAGGGAGCTACCCACATGGCGCAGCAGACCTCTCCTCTCTCGCCCGCTGCTCCCCTCAGCAGTGTATTTTAGCCAGTCTGCCTGTTCTGCTCTCTACTCTGTCTCTGGTGAATTCTCTCACCCTCCACAGCTCTGGCCTGTACCCCAGTTCTTGTATGCATAAATAAATCTTTAAAAAAAAAAAAAAGAATTGATCAATGTTCTATCCCTTGGAAGAATGGCTAATGGGAGGCCTGAGAGATTTAAGTGGAGGGGGTAACACGGTCTCCACTTGCCCTTTAGATGGATCTTTCCAGCTGCTGAGTGGAGGATGGGTTGAAAGGGGAAAGACTGAAGCCAGGAGGCTTGGAAGGAGGACATGGAGGAGGGAAAGAGCCCAGATGCGGGGCAGTGGCTGGAGGGAAGAAGGAGGGTTTGGATTTTAGGTTTAGGAGGCAGAGGAGTGGGCAGGGCAGGTTGGCAAAAACTGAATTTGGGCAGACAGGAACCTGAACCAGGACAACGGAGAGGCCTATAGTCTGAAGTAGGGTGGGGCAAAGGTGTTGGAAGGAGGCTCTGCATCTGTAGATCAAGATAGGCGATGGGCATGTGGGATCCCCGCTCTACTCTCCCCTAGTCCCAGCCCAGCCTGGGTGCCAATTACAAGCCAGTCACTCGCTGCCCGCCTAGGGGAGAGGAGTCACAGGCGAAAGATTCAGGTTGCAAAGACAGGCCGCAGCAGGAGATTCTGTAGTCAGACTTCAGGAATGACTTTCTGAGGGTCTCTAGACTTGGGGTCAGCAGGAACGGGGCTCCAGGGAGACCCCGCTGGTTGGGAACTGTGGTGGGCATGTATAGAGGAAACTTGGAAAAAGGCAGGACGCCATTATGTGATTATCTTTTTCATCCAGACCATTGGCTGATAAGTGGAACAGGAGCTGGAACTCTGTGACCCCCCTCACCCTCCCAATTAGGGCCCAACCTTGACCTGGGCAGCCTTTAGGAGGGCTCAGCCCAATTCCTTAGTCTGGAAGAATAGAAGAGACTAGACTCTGCTTCTGAGGAGTTCCCGGTGGGAAACCAGGACATTTAGACTTGAACTGAGGAAGACCGGAGTTCTTGCTCCCACCCACGACACCTGTCCTTGATCCTGCTCCTCTGGGGGTTGCTGAGAAGCTTCATTTAACTGCTTTGAGCAGAAAGAAAGGGGCAAGGCTGGTGGGCAGCCCAGGGCAGGGGAGGGGGCCGGGCTTTTCACTGTTCCCTGCCACATGGCAGAGATATGGCGCACAGGCCTCTCCACTCGTTTTTAATTTCACACTCCACCCCTCCTTGGCCCCAGGAAAGCCCAGGCTCAGCAGCAAGTAGCTTACCCGCAGACAGGACGCCTAGATTCCCTGTAACTCCACCCTCATCTCCCTGTGTGACCCTAGACGAGTTCCTACACCCCTCTGGGCCTCATGCGAGCCAGAAAAATTATTTTCTCCTTTTCCAACCCAGACGCTGAAGTGGGAGAGGGAAATGAGTCTCCCCCTGGGCTTGGAACACCCTTGGTCCCCATTTGCAACTTGGGCAACGAAGATGCCTCCTTCTCTTCACGCTCTGCAGCAGGGGGATGGGCAGGCTGGCCTCTCCTGAGGAGGGTAGAGGTGACTCACGTGCCCCAGGCTTTCCCTCCCCTTTATCTCTCACCTGGATTAATCTGTGACTCACAGCGCAATTACCGGATGTTGGAAGGGGGGTTACATGTATATTTCTCTGTGGGTAGGGCCCAGGCTAGCCCAAATCTGACTTAATAGGTCAGGAGCTGAGCACCCTTTATTGAATGTAAGCTGCTGAAAGGACCACTAGGCTTTGGGGGTCTTGTTCTTTTCCCCCTAAGTAAGGGGCTGGGCTGAAAGGATTAAAGTTTAGGCCAGAGGAGGATCCTTTGAGAATTCACTGAATGTCCCCTACATGAGAGGCTTAAAAGATCTGTCAGAATCGGGAGAGTTCCCAAAAGGGGAATGGTTTCATTGAAGCCATAGGAAGGAATCCAGAATACCCATCTCCTACCTAAAAACTTTTTCTCCTAACTTGCTTTTCAAATACAGGGCAGATTTTTTTCTTTTTACAGAGATCCAGAGTTGGAGGCCCAAACTGGTACACAGACAGGTGCATACAGGCATGTCCACACCCAGCCCCTGCGCACACATAGAGCAGACAAACCATGGCTTATATCAGACTCCCACCCCATCTACATCCACCTAGATCACATGTGGGGGCCCAGAGGTAGATGCACCCCTGGGATGTGTGAACCACATCATCCTGCACACCCTTGCTCACACATAAGGAGGAACTTGCCTTCCAGGATTCTCTTCTTCCTCTCCTCTAAGGTTCCAACTCCCAGACCCCCCCAATCCAAGACCCGTCCCCCCAAAAGTCATCTTAAACCACACCCATAGATGCCAACTTTCCAGAGAAAATCTGAGATTAGCAGGCTGGAGGTACAATGGGAGGGACTGAAGTTAGAGCCTGGGCTTCCTGCTCTCCACCCCAACTCTTTACTCCCCAAATAGCAGCGGGGAATGCAGAAAGGACGGTGTAGCTCCTTGGGTTTCTCTGTTCTCCACCCTCTTCCCTTCCCTGACAAAGTCACCGTGGTGCCTATTTTGGAGGTGGGAGACCACACGCAAAGGGAAGTGAGCGGACCACATAGGGAAGTGGCAGGGCCACACCTCTTTTCCCAAGTGGCACTGGTGCCTGCCACCTCCTGAAGCCACTTGCGCCACCATCTCTCCTGGCGGCAGATTCCACACCCTCCACACACTGGAATAATCCAGAACTGGGCTTGCGAAAGGGCTAGGAGCTATTGGGCCTGTGGCTGAACCAGATAGTTTGAAAGTCACCAGCCCCCACCCCACTTGATCCCATAGAGGGACTGAGGGCAAAGCACATGAGGGAACAAAAGAAAAGGAGGCTGAAGAGGAGCCAGAGACAACCACTGGGGACCAGGGGCCACCGTGAGGGCTGGGGCTGCATCTCTTTCATCAAAAACGAAGGCTGGCACACTTAGGAGAGAAATGCCAGCCCCGGCTCACACAGTCAATGTGTTCATTATGCTAATTGCAAACCCAGGCCAGACTGCCCCATGACAGCGGCAGGTAGAGACTGGCACAGGCTCACCAACAGAACCGAGACAGAGTTAGAAAGCAGAGCTCACATCGTGGCTCCTCATCTTGAGGATGAAGCCTGGCAGGAGCATAAGGCCCTCCACCACAAAGGGGCGCCTTCCGGCCACTGAACGTGTCCCTTTGTTCAGAAAACGAGGATAACGGTGCGTTACTTCAGAGGGCTGGAATGACCATCCATCAGGTTCCCATCCCTCAGATGTGTGAAGGAACAAGTGCCCAGGACCTAGCAGGCAGTCGTCAAAACATCGACTTTGTATTACCTCTCAGGCTTTATCGGCCATCACATCCCACCCAGTCCAGGCAGGGATCACAAATCATGACTCTCTTTCCCTTGCAGCCTTCTGGTGCCCTCCCTGCCTTCCAGCTGCCCCTTCTGCACATGGCTGTGTCCTATTGAGCAGAACACTGTACCCGGAGCTGTGAAACCTACCTTCGCAAGTGTTCCCTGTCCCCAAAGAGCACACATACAGGAGAAAAGGTTAAAAGCAGCCAGGAACAGGAAATGAAGTGATTTAATTTTAAATCAGCTTAAGACAACAGAAGAGTTCACGTCACTGTACGTGACTGCAAAGTGAACTGAACAGATAGTAATCACTCTGCTGTTTCAGGAGGGAAAAGAGCACCTCAGGCTGAGGGCAAGGGAAGGGCTGAAGGAGGAGGCACTATTTGAGCTGAGTCTGGAAAAACAGCCAGGATTAGGGGAGAGTGAAGGGAGAGGCTGCCGGAAGGGGTTGTGGAACAGGCTAAGAGGAGGTAGCATCCCCCGCCCCCCAGGGCACGGGGCACTCCTGGAGAGCAGGGCTGGGGCCTCTGCACCCCTACTGCAGCAGCACAGTGGGGGGCAGCTTGTGGCCCGAATGGGCAGACAGCCGGGGGTAGATGCACAGATCTGGTAGAACTCAGGCACAAAGGGGCCCTGCAGCACTCAGTGCTTTCTGTGTCTCTCCTGCACTGGGGGACATCAGCCCCCTCACCCCTTCACCCACCCAGTCCCTTCCTGCCTCTGTGCTTTTCCATGTCCCCACCCTGGGAAGCAGCAGCACCAACAGAGGAGGGCATTGTGCCCTTCAATGGGGTCCATTCATACGTGAAGCCCCTCTCCACTCCTCAAAGCCGGTACTCTGTGACCCCCAGGAAGGGCCACACCTTCTCTGGGCCACATTTGAAGACCAGATGCTGCACTGAAGGGCAGAGTGAGGTCCAAGTACACATCCTGGCAACAGGAAGGGGACAGATCCTCAGCCCTGGGCACGGGCCCGCCTCTCCAGGCTTTTGGAAGCAGTCCAGGGAGAGAGAGAGAGAGAGGCAGGCCCAGGGATGAGTGGTGAAGGGATCTCCTGGTGCACTCAGCTTCCTCTCTTAGTTGGCTCACAACTTCTTCTGGGAGTTCAAATGGACAGTCAGGCCCAGTTGACTCTTGGGATACTGTGGCCCCAGGCCCAATGGTGGGGCACCAACAGAAAACTGGGTGGTGGCTTATGTGGGGTCCATCCAGTGTGTGTAGGCCAGCACACCCTCCATGGAGGGTCCATATGCCATTGACATCTTGCTCCAGAGGTCTGAAGAGTCCTGCTGTCTACCTCCAGCTTGCTCCCAGGGCTGGAGATCACACAGTCCACCTCTCACTTCGGGCCTCCACAGCCTGTACCAGGCCTTCGCCCAGGATGGCAAAATCTTCCAGGATGGCCTCTACATTGGGCACCATCACCAGCTCCCCACCTTGAGACACCATCATGCGCCCCTTTGTGCTAGAGGCCTAGGGAAACCAAAGAAATGTGGATTGAGTTGTCACAAAGGCACACTGGCAGGCACCAAGCCAGGGGTGGTGCAGGAGTAGTAAAGACAGATAGACACGCCCACACATTTCACACCTGACAGCACACTCACAGCTACACACAGACACGTATGCCCCTGCGGAGCCACACATACACAACTCAGGAACACAGGACTGTCATCAGCCGGCATACCTTAAAAGGCTGAGGCTGGAAGCTGGTGGGCTTCCAGAGGACACCAATCACCTCTCCACCATGCTGGTCATAAAAGAAAAGGGCCAGGTCCCCAAAAGCCTCCTAGGGATGGGCAAGAGAGAGATAAGATTACAGGTGGGCAATGGAGAGCAATCCCCAGGGTCCCAGCTCCGCTTCAAAGTCGCCTCCCCAAGGTCAGACAGCCTTTTAGACCTACCCTGAGCTGGGCCAGGTACAGCTGAGGAGGATCATAGCCCAGCACTGGCATCAGGGATGAGGGTCCTGAGTCATTGAGCAGCCCCCGGCAGAAGGAGGCAGCTGGCGAGTCCACAGCCTGACGGTGCCGGGGGATGTGGCGGGGAGAGAGGCGGATCAGCACGTCATACATGTCCAGGGGAGGCCGGAACACCGTCTGAGGAAAGGCAGTCAGCAGCTGGAGTTGGCAGTTTGACTACAAACCCCTCCACATGCCCACCTTGGGTGCCTCCTCTTCCCATTATGGCCTGACATGCCCATTTGTTGGCAGGAATGCCAAGGGGGTTTGGGGCTAGCAGGAGGAACACAGGCTGGAAGCATGAGGCCTCATGGAGCTGAGGCCCAAGTTCTCCACCAGGCTCCAGTTCTGCCAAGTGCCGAGAGCAGCTTCAATGCCTTCTCTGGATTCATTCTCACCAAACTAGGGACTGGGTATCTCAGGAGAACCCCACTGGCTCCAGACTTCCAAGGCTCAAGGGAGAGTCCCCAGAGCCCCTGGAGTCACCCCTAGTCAGGGCTTACCCTGATATCCCCAGGCCCCCGGGGATCCATCAGTTGCTTCTCTAGGACAGGCAAGGCCTCAGCTGCCAGGACCACGAGCTGCTGTAGGATCTGGGGACACACATACATCGGGTAAGTCAAATCCTACTATGAGCCTCCTAGTTCAGGATGGACCTGCTTTTTTCTTTGAGGTAGAAATCCACCCATTTGGGGGAGGAATGGACCGAACCTGGGGCGAGGGTCCATCCCGTGTCCATATAGAGCTTTTGCGATCCTGGGGGGTAAAGATGACCATGACAGGGAGTTGTGTCCGAGTTGCCAGGAAGCCACTGCGCATCTCCACCTGCTCCTCCACTGTGGAAAAGAGGGGGTCCTGGGTCAGCCTGCCCCTCTGCCTGACACCCTCTTCCGCCCAGGTCTTCCTACCATCCATCCAACGGCTGCCCATCGGGGGTTTTCCAACACCCTTCCCCCATGTGGCAAAAGTGATGAAAGGGGCACCGTATTTGCCTCAAACGGGTGGGGCATTAAAACCAGCCTCAATCCAGAGACAGAATTTTCCACTGCCTGGCACCCCAGCCTGGTTTCCGGACCTGTACAAGCTGAGGCCTGCCCCTGCCCCCCTCCCACCCTATGCTCCCACACACCTGGGGAATTAGGAAGCTGATACCTTCCTCTCTGCGGGAACCAGGGGCGCCTCATATTACAGCAATCATCATCCCCATCCCCCAAGAGGTCCGGGCATCTATTCTAAGCTGAACCCTAGTGTTCAGGTCTCCCTCCACCCTTCCTTCTCCTTCACACACCTCCTGCCCACTCTCTGCAGCTGCTCACCATTCTCAGTCTACTCGGTTTCTGGTCATCCCATGGGCAATCTACTTCTCTCCAGCCTCAGGGCTCCCTAAAGGCCTGGCCTAGGCCCCTTCCGCCTCATCATTTCCCAGCCCAAGGTAGTCACCTCACAAACTGAAGGAAAATCCCCAAAGCGCAGAACTCACTTACCGGTGAGCTCACTGTTGAGGTTGACAATAAGGGGGGTATTCTTCCAGTCAAAGGTCGATACCAGGAAAAGGAACCGAAGGAAGCCCACCTGGGGGGAGCTGAGGGGAAGGAGAGCCATGAGCCCTAGGCCCAGCCATACCTCCCCAGGCTTCCCTGAGGTACCGGTGAGCCCTTGGCATGGAATTAGGGGTGGAAGGCATCTTAGAACTCTCTGTTATTCGTTTCAGTCCCCCTCCCATTTGGATTGAAGGGACAAGGGCAACAGGAGGTTGAAAACAGGCACCCAAGGAAATTTCCTCACTAGATGAAAGGTAGCGGGAATCACCTGGGAGGGGTGAAGGGCTCAGGGTGCAGGAAAAGGGCAGCAGCCACCAGGTCCAGGCTCTCATCTGTGAGCCCCTCGCCCAGAAGCTGGGCACGCACCCACCGCTTGGCCAGTCGAGCCACACCCGAGAAGGCTGGATGCTGCTGTTGGAGCCTGTGGGGGCAGAGGCAGCAGCGATGAGAAGCAGGCCCTGAGGGCCCAAGAACAGAGCTTCAGCCCCACTGCCACTATCGACTCAAGTGTCACCACGACGACCCCCATGCTGAAGCATTACACGTGTAATCTCATCCTCCCAACAAATGCCCCAAGAATTTGGTCCTAGTATTACTGCCATTTTACAGATAAGGAAGAGACTGCAGCGCTGTACCCATGCAAGGCGCTGGTGAGCAGGGGCAACTGCCTGGTATCCCTCTCCAGGCAGAGGGAAGCAGGCGTGTCCCTCAGTGAGATCATCCCCTCGGGGCTGCGCATCTCCTTCAGAATCTGGGGTTCCCGCTGATAGGCCACACGTATCCGGAACACAAACCCATCCTGGTGGAAAGGAGATAGGATGGGAGGTATATGGTGGCCAGGAGCACCTGGCTCTCCTACCCCTCTCCCGCCCTCTCCGGGGATATCCCTGGCCCACACCAGCCTAACCTTAAGGACGTCAGTGTGCGTGGCAGTGGCACGGCACTGTAGCCCATGCTGTTGGGTTAGCAGCTCTGCCAGACGCAGCTGGAAGGCCGCTCGGACCCGTCGGATGGCCTCAGCATCCTGTGGCCACTGCCCACTGCCCTCCAAGTGACACACCACTGGAAAGATGAGTGAGACATCTCAGACTACAGCCTAGAGTGGGAACAGGCCCTGTCACTACTTTCCAAAAGCCAACTAACCAGTCATGGGCTCCACATAGGCTGGACAGGGCTTGTCGGGCCGGGGCAAGAGCGAGGCCCGCTCCCGCAGGCGCTCATAGAAGGAGTAGGCTGGCCGGACCGGGGTTGGTGGGAACACCTGGAAAGAAAAAGGGAGAATGAGGAAGGGGCCTCAGACTGGCAGGGAGTGCCCAGAATCAGCAGCTGGAAGGGGGGAAGGTAAGGGGAAGAAAGGTGGGGGATATCCAGGAAAAATGGCTCCCTGCAGCCTCCCTGGTGGTGCAAGGGGTTAATTCTCAGCACCATGAAGCTATCAGCAGACACTGCAGTGGCCAAGGAGATACCCACATGGCGCAGCAGACCTCACTTATCTTGCCCGCTGCTCCCTTCAACAGTGTATTTCCGTCAATCCACCTGTTCTGCTCCCCACTCTGTCTCTGGTGAATCCTCTCACCACCCTCCACCCCTGCACTTCTAGCATACACCCCTGCTCTTGTATGCATAAATGAATCTTTTTTTTTTTTTTTTTTTAAAAAAGGTTCCCTGCCTCCTAGGACCTCACCTCAGTGTAGCGCAGCACTGGGTGAGCACCTTGCACAGCAGACACAGTCAGGGGGAGATCTTCCAGGCCCCACAGCAGGCGGCTGAGGTCATCATAGCAACGTACCACCGCTGCCAGGGCCTCCTCACCTGTGCTGCAGGTCTGAGAGGGAGAAGACAGGAAGGAGGTAGGGATTGTCAGAACCTATCACCACCAGATCTGGCCTTGGCTCAAGTTGCTGTGGAGCCAGCGCCCCCTCTGCTGGTCTCTCCAGGAAGCGCAGCCACGATGACGGAAGTGATAAGGGCTTGCCAAACCCACCACCCAGATTGTGCCACACTGGCTACTACTACCCAATCCCTAACCTGGACTCTAGTCCTGACCCAAGGCCCTTACCTCTTTCAGGCCTTGGATCAGTGGGTCCAAGAGGCCCCCCACATAGTGGACACAGGTATCTGGGATGTCAGCATGGCTGGAAAAGGAGCACAGACGCAATGTGGGCATCAGGGCTATGAGTGAGTTGTTGGACACGACTGGTCACTTCCAAAAGCCTCCCCAAAGGCTCCCCAGCCCACGGTTGCCTCCTGGCACCGAGAGGCTAATACTCACAATGCCAACAGGTGGGTGACCACCTGATGGGGAATAAGGCGCTTTTGGGCCATAGAGGCTGCCTCCCAGACCACAGCTTCCCGAATGGCTCCATCCTGGAATCGCCGGAGCTCTGAGCGAGATCCCCAAAACTGGCGGAACTCAGCAGCCTATGGAGAAGCAAAGGGTGGTGGGAAAGGGCAACAAAGAAGGATTCTGTCAGAAATCTTCCTGACAGACCTCAATCCAGGCGGCATGAGTATGACACACCCCACTCCTTCCAATGCACATGCTGGGCATCCCAAGACAGGCTCAAATTACTTTCCAAACCCCAGGGTTCCTCACCTCAGGCTGGTCAGCTTCGGGACCCAGCTCAAGGACACTGGTCAGACCCTCAGGCCGGAGGAGCAATCCCAGGGTCAGAGTCCCAGAGTCTCGGTGCTTTGGCGGGTCCTGGCTGATGTCCCACTATAGGGTATAGAAAGACTGAATCCAAGAATCCCCCAGTTTGGTCTGGAAACCCACTTTCTAGGTAAAGAGACAGTATCTTTTGTATCCCCTGAGGCCCTGGATCCAGTCTCTCTCATGCCTACAAACTCCCTGACCTACATGCCCACTTACCTCTGAGACTGGGGGCCGAGAATGGGCCAGCAGGTGCAGCCGGGACCCTAGGCCCCGCTCCAAGAGGGTCATTAGTGGCCCCAGAGCAGCTGAGACATAGTCCCCACCGTGGTCCTGCAGCTCTGGCCACAGCTTCAGTCGGTGACATGCTGCCTGCAGGCGACTCAGTGGACGGAGACTTGGGGGCACAGAAGAACAAAGAGGGAGAATCAAGTGCTGCCGATCACAGTAACACACGCACCAGGATATGAGCACCTGCCAGAGGGCAACTACCCCATCACACCAGACCCAGGGAAACAGGACCTGCTGACATTCCCCATCACCCCTAAACTTACTGTAGGATGTGGTCGAAAGTACGAATCATGGGTTTGGGAGTCATCAACAGCAACTGGAATCCATCGTCAGCTTTGGTATCTAGCAAGGCCATAGATAACCGTGCCTCGTGCTGCACCTGGGGCCAGAGGCAGGGAGGAACGCAGAGGTGAGACTACCACCACTATACCCTCTCCTCAGACCTAAGGGCTCAGAGTGGGACAGGCCTAGCCTAAACTCTTTGGAGAGGTATCTCTGGGGTGATGGTGCTGACACAAATGTTAAAGTTGGCTGGGAAACCTGTGGAACCCAGGAGTAGAGGACCATTGGTACCTGGTGGTAAGTGGAGGCAGTGACATCAGCACAGAGGTTGAGACGGCCTGAAGAATCCAGGAAGACAACAGGGAAGGCCTGGTGAAAGTCAGCCACTGCCGGCTTGGAGGGGTAGAGAAAAGCAGTAAGGATTGGGGCCTAGACTGTCAAGTCTCCTTGCCCAGACTCAGGTTGGTCCCACTTACCAAGGAGGCATCTGAGCTGAGACATAGACTGATCCCATTGACAGTCAGATCTGTGGTGGCTGAAGTGAACCAGAGAAGGTGGTTGTGTCAGCAGGAGTTCCACTCTCCAGGGACCCAGCCCTAATGAAATCCGCCCTCCAGCCAGGTGGCTGAAACTGCCACCTCTAGGGTTTAGTTTGCTCAACAATCTGACTGGGTGAGTTTCCCAGGATGCCTTGGCCTTTCCAAGCCCAGTTGCCTCACCCAGAAACTGCAAGACGCTTCTTAGGACCTGGTAGCCACTCATGGTGGTGTGGATCTTGCGAGTGGACACGAGGAAGGCCACCATCATGGAGACATGGAACCCGCTGAACCCCCCCAGACCCTGAAAGAGATGAAGGGAGAGGCCCAAGCTCACAGCCAGCCCACCACCCAGTGAGGCAGGGGAGCTGGGCCAATCCCAACTCACCTTGTCCAGTTCCCGCTGACGCAGCCAGACCTTCAAAAGTGCCACACCATCCTTCAAGCCCATAGCCGAGCCCAACGTGGTTGAAAGCAGATGTACATGGGATTCGAGGGCTGTGTCCTGCAGGACCCATGTGTTATAGTGGGGGGTGGGAGGCTCTGGGCTACCTGTGAAAGGGGAAGCCATGAGAGGAGTCCCCAAAACACCCTTCCCTCCAGCTCCACCTTGACACCCGTGCCTGCTCACCATCTCCTGGGGAACTCTGCCCTCGGTACCAGGCAGAGCGCACATTGTTTTTGGATGGCAGCAGGCGGCACGGGCGGAAGAAGTCAGGCGGGGGGCATGGATGCAGACGTACAGTGACCAAACGCTCATCCTTCCCTGGGGGGAGATGGGGTGTTGAGACCTGCAGTCCCTTGGAGCCTGGGTGGGGAGGGGTCCCTGCACCCTCTTCTACTTGAGGCCCCAAGCCCACACATCTCAGAATGAGCTCCCTATACCTTTCCTCTCAAACTTGAAGCCCAAGCTTTTCATCTTGGACTTGTGGCCCCTGTGCTTCCTCCCCTGGATTTGTTACCCCAAACTGCCCACAGCCCTGTGTGTGCCTCCCACCATGTGGCCGCAGAAGCAGCGAGGGTTTCAGGTGGCAGCCATTGGTGTAGGAGAAGTGAACACTGCCAAAGAGAGAGTCTTGGGCCAGGTGGTGGGCCAAGTGGGCCAGGTAGAGGGCACGCTTGCGGAAGTAACGCTGGTTCAGCCCATCCTTGTCCTGTAGAATCTCCTGGAGGGAGTCAGGAAGAGAAAGAGATGGTCAGGCACATAAGTGCTTGTGGTTGGAAAGTCTGGAGGCCAAGATGAACCAAAACCAAGTCACAATTTAGCAATCCTAGGGATTCTCTACTGCCAGGGTACCTGAGCCAGGGCTAACTACACCAACTCCGATTCTCAGGTGAGGAAGGCAAAATACCAAAGAGGAAGCAGCTGGCACAAGTGCACATCAAAGCTGCCCTCTTGACTACTGCAGTGGTTGCTCATTTGACTTAGAACTCAGATTCGAGGGGCCTCCCTGTGGTACAAGGGTTAAGATGCAGCACTGTGAGGCTGTCCACAGCCACTGCAATGCAAGTTCGATCCCCAGCCAGGGAGGAGACCCACATGGCGCAGCAGACCTCTCCTGACTCACCCACTGCTCCCCTCAGCAGTGTCTTCAATCCATCTGCCTGTTCTGCTCCCCGCTTTCTCTGGTGAATTCACTCACCCTCCCGCACTTCTGACCTGTACCCCAGTTCTTGTATAAATAAATAAATCTTTAAAAAAAAAAAAGTGATAGGTCCCTCTATCCCCCAAACTCAGGACCTCACCCTGGGCATGGTCAATGCCACATCCACATTGATGTCTGGCCGGATGCAGGTGCCCAGGAGGTAGCTGCCCACAACAGTGACCTGGGTTGGGGGCAGGAAGCGGAAACAACCCTTCACAGTATACGGTACTTGATGGAGAGGGACTCGAACCCCAGCTGGAAGCCATGCTTGGTCAGTCAGCTATGGAGACAGAGAAAGTGACACATATTGATTTGACTGCCTTCCTGACATGTCCCTTTGATGTCTCGTATGTATCTCAAATTCAACACATAACATATTTGAAACCAAGTTCCTGATCTTCCTGCCATGTCTTCCTCATTAGGCCAGCTCCATACTGGTTACACAATCAAAAACATTTAAGTCACCATGGCTCATCTTTGTTAGGAATACCCCTTTCACTTTCAAAAGATATCCAGGGCCTCCCCTGGTGGCGCAGCCTTTGAGCGCTGGGCTGCGAAGCTGCCCACAGCCTTTCCAGCGCCGGTTCGATCCCCGGCCGCCAGCGAGGGTCCCACATGGTGCGCAGTCCTCTCCTGCTGTGCCCGCTGCTCCCCTCAGCAGTGCACTTCGTCAGTCTGCCTGTTCTGTTCCCCGCTCTGGCTCTGGTGAATTCTCTCACCCTCCCGCGCTCTGACTGTGCCCGGTGCTTGTATAAATAAATAAATCAATCTTAAAAAAAAAAAAAAAAAACCCACAAAAGACATCCAGACACTGGCCACTGCTCCACTTCTCTATCCTAGTTTGAGCCACCACCAATTTTCAGTAGATCCTTGCACTATAGGTTCCCAATAGTCTCCTGACTTTACATTTGTCTCCCTCCCTTCTACTCTCAACACATCAGCCTGTGTGAACTTTCTAAAGCTGAAGTTAGAGCATATCACTGCTCTACAAAAAGTTGCAGTGGTTGCCCATTTCACCTAGAGTAACCAACAAAGTCCTTGATTAGGTGCACAGGGCCCTGAATGATACACCCCCTTCCACCATAGCTTTCTGAACTCATCTCCTTCCATCTCCCCATCGTTCATTGCAAGGAACATATAGATCCACTCCTGCCTTTGAGCCTTTGTTTTGTCTGTTTCCCCTTCCTAGAATGCTTTTCTTCCCTTAGGTGTCTATGTGGCTGACTCACTACCTTCAAAATGTCACACAAATGTCACCTTGTGGGACTTGGATTTTTGTGTATCTCAACTATTCCATGTCTTTGCCTTGATTATTCTTCGCTTTGACTAATCTGTGCCTCTCAGTGTGCAGAAGCATGGAAAGTTTGATATAAGAAACCTCTCAAGGCAAAAGTCCTGGAATGAGGATCTATACATGAAAACAGTGTGTGATAGAAACAGAAACAGATGTTATAGTTAGAGTAGCATAAACACTGAGACTTTCCTTGACTTTCTCCCTAATTCCCAGCATTGACTGGGGCTAGCTGCTTAGCCATCCCTCACACACTTGTGCATTCCCTGTTTGCCTGCTTGCTTCTTTGATCTTTTTAATTTTCTGTCTAATTCTGTTTTTTTTTTTTTAAAGGTTTACTTTATTTATTTATGCATGCAAGAACTAGGGTGTAGGCCAGAGGTGTGGGAGGTGAGAGGATTCACCAGAGACAGAGTGGGGAGTAGAACAGTCAGACTAACTCTGAAATACACTGCTGAGGGGAGCAGTGGGTGAGACAGGAGAGGTCTGTTGCACAATGTGGGTTAGCTCCCTGGTTGGGGATGGAACTCATGCTGCAGTGGCTGCTGAGACTTAACCCCTTGTGCCACTAGGGAGGCCCCTTCTGTCTGATTCTAAATAAAAGCGAGACTGCCCTTGAAGCTGGGCTGCACCTTCATGGTGTAGTCCCTCTAGGCTTCTCATTGTTCTGCACATGGGCTCTGAGTAATCCTCTTTCATCCCACCCCCACACATCATAACGAGATATCACGGCAAAAAGGCCTCCCTGGTGGCCTAGGGGTTAAATCTCAGCTATCACTACTGAGTTCAAATCTCGGCCAGGGAGCTAACCCACAGGGCTTAGCAGACCTCTCCTGCCTCAGCTACTGCTCCCCTCAGCAGTGTATTTCAGAGCCAATGCACCTGTTCTGCTCCTGACTCTGTCTCTGTGAATCCTCTCCCCTCCCTGAACCTCTGGCTTACACCCAGTTCTTATACACATAAATAAAATGTCTTAAAATGTCACTCAATAAGTCCTATCCTATTTAAAATTGCAGATCAGCCCACTACTCCCCTCAGCAGTGTATTTCAGTCAGTTCGCCTGTTCTGTTCCCCACTCTGTCTCTGATGAATCCTCTCACCCCCTGCACCTCTGGCCTGTACCCCAGTTCTTGTATGCATAAATAAACAAATCTTTAAAAAAAAAAAAAAAAAACACTCCTGTTTCAGATGCTCTCCTTGAAGACCTCTTCTGTGTTTTCCAGTTCCTCACACCACCTGCTTACCTCTGTCTCAGGGGTTGAAGGCACCCTCATGATCCGTTGTTTGACCTCCCATAGGAAAGCATCAATCCGCTCTTTCTTTTTCTCTGACAGCCTCACTTCCTTTAGAAGCTCTTCTACCTGTAAGAAGGGCAGGAGAGAGTCCTTTAGTCTCAGGCCCTTGATCTGCTCCTCTAATCCAAGTCCCAGTCACCCAACAGTACCTGTAAGCGAAGCAAGCTAGAGTGGAAAAGACTCTCAGTCTCCCGAAGGCGATTCAGCTCCTCATTGGTAGGTTCCTTATACAGTTCGGCCCGGCTGAGCTTCACTGGCTGCAGGAGGCCCTCCACTGGAGACCCAGCCACTGTGCGTTTCTTTGAAGATTTCTTCTTTCCCTCCTTGCCTGTGCCTTCCAGAGCTGGCTCCATCACCTGTGGCCGTGAGAGAGAGAAGCCAGTGTGAGCTCACAGATGTTTAGCATTTGCTACCCGAAGGACCACCGTGACAGGAGATAGTTGTCAGAGCTTCACTAGCTCCTAGTTCCTCTTTTCTTTTTTAAAGATTTATTTATTTATGCATAAAAGAACTGGGGTACAGGTCAGAGGTTTGGAGTGGTAAGAGGATTCGTCAAAGACAGAGCGGGGAACAGAACAGGCCGCCTGACAGAGATACACTGCTGAGGGGAGCAGCAGGTGAGATAGGAGAGGTCTGCTGCACCATGTGGGTAGCTCCCTGGCTGGCTCGGGGATCGAACTCGTGCTGCAGAGGCTGTGGACAGCTTCATAGTGCTGTGCTTAACCCCTTGCGCCACTAGGGAAGCCCATAGTGCCTCTTTTTAATGGTAGTGAGAATATGTAAAATTCAGGGTAGGGAATCCTTGGTGGCCTAGGGGTTAAGTCTCAGTACTATCATTGTGTTGGGCTCAATTCCATCTCCAGCCAGGGAGCTAACCCACATATGGCTTAACAGACCTCTCCTGTCTCACCTGCTGCTCCCCTTAGCAGTATATTTCAGTAAGTTCTCCTGTTCTAGCTCCCTACTGTCTCCAGTGAATCCTCTCACCCCCCACACCTCTAACCTACACCCCAGTTCTTCTATGTTTAAAAAAAAAAAACAAACTCAGTATAACCACTACTTAGAAGAATATTTACTGAGTTCCAAACTGAATGTTCCTTGAGTTGAGGGCTCCCTTTCTACCTGAAAGCAACAGCAGGGAGCTCTGCTTGGAATCAGAGTAGCTCACTGTGTCCTGCCCTGAAGGATGTCTGAACTCCCTGTATTTCCAGGCACCATGCATCACAGAGTTTCCTCTTCTGCTGTGTTTGCCTTGGGACTTTAAAAATGCCATCTCCATTCTTACTGTCTCCAAATCCTGCCAGGTTCCACTTCCCCTATAGACCAATTCCAAGTCCCAACTATAGTCTGAATTAATATACATTAAGTACTCAAAGATGGAGAGAGTTAGACCCTATTTGATCTGGAGCATTTACTCAGTAAGTAATGCCATTCTCACAATAATTCTAGGAGAAAATGGACACTTGAAGGAAGTTGTATGAGCTCAAGTGTCCACCGCTAGTATACCTATATTATGAGTAGGCATCAAATCCTGTTGCGTGGGATCCTAAACTTTCTTCCCTACAGCCCTAGGTCCCACCCCCTCCACGGTCAGAAACCGGGAGAGCCTTCCTTAATGGACAGCTCCAGAAGCGCCACCACGTGCCCTCGGTTACAGCAGGGAGCACAGAACTGGGAACACAAGGGGAGATGCCTTCCAACGTCCAGAAGGAAGACCCGGTCAGTGAAATGACCCAAGTCATCAGGTCTCTTAACTTCAGGTTGCAGCAAAGTGCGACGCTCGCCATGAGAGTGCAATAGGGATTACTGCAACTATCCAAATAATACCATGTTCCGTCGCCCATAGCAACCCCAGGGTTGAAGCATCGGGGGAACGGGATCCTCCAGAGAGGATCGCCCTCAAGACACTCGCGAACGAGCTGTCCGGCTCCGGCATCTCCGACACGCTGAGCATCCTTTCCTCCCAGGGGGTCACCCACCTCCGACTCCCCAGGAGCTCCACGTTGCTGCGTTTCCGTAGGCGCCGGCCCCATCCCTCGGGGTCCAGGTCTTCCGTACTTGGAGTCTAAAGCCCACTTGCTTGGCACAACTTCGTTCCACAAGCAAAACTGGAAATCGGCAGCAATCTCGGTGAGATCAGCCCAACGCCATAGGAAACCTGCTGCAGTTCCCGGCAGAAGCGCTGGCAAACCGCGTGCTGCAGGACTCCGCCCACCTCCAGAGCCATTGGATAAGAGCCCGAAGACTCGCTCGCCATTGGTCGCTGTCACTCTTTAGGACCGCCCAATTTGGGGGCGGGGCTAAAAGGCTCTCCAATTTACGACCTCTTTGCGACACCAAGAAGTCGACGACCGGAAGTCGACTTGTGGATTGGCGGTCGCTTCCTTTTCCTCACTTCCTCCGCTCGGGTCGAAAGGGAAGGCGGGGCGCCTTTGGGCTCTCTGAGAAGGGCTTGTTTAATGTACGGCGTTGATTCCTGTCCTTTTCGTCCACCACCACGCCCTCCCAGTAACATATCTTGTGAGTTCTACCTCCAAAATAGACCTTGGGTTTGTTCCCTCTTCTCTATCTATACTGCCAAGGTTAGCCCAAATCACCTCATGTACTTAAATTATGACTGTCGCTTTTCTCCACTTTACTAAAATTTCCAAATCTATCCAAACGTTGCAATAATAAATTACCATTTATAACTCAAACTAATAATTGAGCTCCCTTATAACCTTCACCTACCCATCATAACTTCGTGTTAGTCTTCTGTTAAATTTGGTTTTTTTCTTTTTATTTTTGCGAGGAAGAACTGGGGTGTAGGCCAGAGATGCGAGTGGGGTGAGGAGAGTGAGAGGATTCAGTAGAGAGAATGGGGAGCAGAACTGACAGATTTACTGAAATACACTGCTGAGGGGAGCAGCTGCTGAGTCAGGAGAAGTCTGCTGTGCCATATTGGGTTAGCTCCCTGGCCTGGGATGGAACTCAGACGTTGGTGGTAACAGCTCTGAGACTTAACCCTTGGGCCACCAGGGAGGCACAAATTTGTTTTTTTCTTTATGCATTTACATATTATTTTGCAGAACCAGTTATTTAAAAATCATATGCACACATCTCTAAATGCTTCGGCAGGAATCTACTAAAACAAAGACTACTTACATCATTGTAGTCCTATTATACAATTCAGGAAATTTTACCTTTTTTTTTTTTTTTAAGATTCATTTATTCATGCATACAAGAGCTGGGGTACAGGCCAGAGATGCAGGAAGTGAGAGGATTCACCAGAGACAGAGTGGGAAACAGAACAGGCAGACGGACTGAAACACACAGTTGAGGGGAGCACCGGGCAAGATAGGAGAGGTCTGCCATGTGGGTTGCTCCCTTGCAGTCTGGGGATGGAACTTGTGCTGCAGATTGCTTCGTAATGTGAAGCTTAATCCCTTGCACCACTAGGGAGGCCCCAGTTTTACCTTGATTAAATATTATTCTAAAGTCCATATTCAGGGCCTCCCTGATGGCACACGGGGTTAAGCACAGCACTATGAAGTGATCCGCAGCATCTGTAGCATGAGTTTGATCCAGGGAGCTACACACATGGTGCAGCAGACCTCTCTTGTCTCACCTTTTGCTCCCCTCAGCAGTGTATTTCAGTCAGTCTGCCTATTCTGATCTCCACTCTGTCTTTGGTGAATCCTCTCACCCCCACACCTCTGGCCTGTACCCCAGTTCTTGTATGCATAAATAAACCTTAAAAAAATAAATAAAGTCCACATTCAGGGCCTCCCTGGTGCCACAAGGGTTTAAGTCTCAGCATTGTGAAGCTACCAGCAGTCACTTCAGCATGAGTTCAATCCCTGGCCTGGGAGCTAACCCACTTGGCGCAGTAGACCCCTCCTGTCTCACCTGTTTCTTCCCTCAGCAGTGTATTTCAGTAGATCCTCCTGTTCTGCTACCCACTGTCTGGTGAATCCTCTTACACAAACCCCCTCCACACACACCTCTGGCCTACACCCCAGCTCTTAAATGCATAAATATAAATCTTTAAAAAAAATAATAAAGTCCACATTCCTTTTTGCCAATTATCCTAACAGTATCTTTTATATAACAGCATTTTATTTGGTGATACAAGATCATGCACTAATTTAGTTACCATGTTTCTTTTCTCGCTCAATCTGGAATATGTCCACAATTCTCCCCTTTTTTGTTTTTGGTCTTTAATGACAACATATAGGAAAATTGTATTGAATAGCTTTAACTACTTTTTGGGAAAAATTCACATATCATAAGGGCAAAGTCTGAATAGTCACAAACCAAACATAACCTGAGTAACTAACTCCCAGAAAAGAAGCAACACTTTTCCTACACTGTCATAATTTTCCCTCATGCTGCCTTCTAGTCACTACCCACCAACAGTAATCATTATCCTAACTTTGAATAGCATAACTTAGTTTATACAATAGCTTTTAAATAAACCTTCATATGAGAGGTCTTGTCCTTCAGTCATTTCCACAGGTTGCTAGAATGAGTTTTCAGGAACTAAAATTTTATCATTTCACTTTCATTATAAAAATTTGCCAGTGGCTCCCAATTATACTTGTAATGAAATCTTTAGCAACAGGCCATAATCAAATAGTCCCTCACTTGCTATAGCACCCTTTCTCTTGACACTCCACCCCTCACTTAACTCCAGCAATATCAACATTCTTTCAATCCCATGGTTGTACCAAGTTCTATCTCATTTCAGAGAATTGAGCCAAACTCTTTTCTGTGCCTAGAATTCTTTTTCTTGACTTTTTCTCTTTTTCATCCTTTAGCTCTCAGTATAAAAGTCACCTCTTCAGTTAAGTCTTCATTGACCACCCAATGTGAAATATATTGTCCCTTGTCTTGCAACAATGTAATCCCCAGAGAAAGGGGAGATTTGAGGTTCCAGGTTCCCTGTCCCCACTGAGGAAGGGTGGAACTGCCAGCGAGGAAGCTAGAAAAGGGCCTGGAAGAGAAGGAGTGAGGAGAGGAAGACCAGGAAGGCAAGGAGGGAGATGAAAAGAAAACCTGGAGAAGACCCAGGAAGCAGAGAGACATTTGAAGAAGTCATTTTTGCTTCTCTGCCTTGGACTTGTACCAGGGACCTGGGGGACATGGAAGGAGGCATTTGAAAGAGCCATTAATGTAGGCAAGAGACCTGTCAGGGACTGACAATGACAGACTCTATCTTGACTTGTATTATGTTTTTTTGGTTTTTTAAAAAGATTTATTTATTTATGCATGCAAGAACTGGATGTAGACCAGAGGAGCAGGGGATGAGAGGATTCACCAGAGAGTGGGGAGTAGAACAGGAAGATCTACAGAAATACAGTGCTGAGGGGAGCAGAGGGCCAGAAAGTGAGAGAGGAGAGGTCTGCTGTGCCATGTGGGTTGCTCCCTGGCAGGCCCAGGGATCGAAGTTGTGCTGCAGAGGCTGGCGATACCTCTTTAACCCCTGCACCACCAGGAAGGACCTTGACTTGTATTTTGATTTTGCTCTTTTCCTTTCATACTTGGCTTCCTTATTCCCCTTTCCAATGGGTCCCCATCAGAAGGTGACTTAGATTTGTGGCAAGTTTTTGGGCCTTAATGATCCTGGCTACTTGGCTGCACATTTACCCACAGGACATGGATAACTTTGGGTGTTTCATGGGGAAACTATATTAACTGTATTCTTTCTCTTCTCTAATGCACACAAATTCTCTATTGCACACTAATTGTATTAAAGTTCTTTTCTATTGAAGGTCTTATGCACTAAGAGTGTGTTTCTCTTCATGAGGCAGATGGCAGAACCCATTTAGAGCAGCCAGGTTTGGGGGCCCTAAGTGCCCCTTATTCTTCCCACTGACAATCTCATCACTTCCATTATTTCCTTTTTACCATTTCCCCCCTCAATTTGTGATTGTTAATCAATCGTCTGCTTCTTTGTCCTTAACTAAATCCCTCGAAACAAGGACCAGGTCTACATGACCAATGCGTGGTATAGAGCAAATAATAATCATTTTTTAAAAAGATTCATTTTTTTATGCATACAAGAGCTGAGGTGCAGGTCAGAGATGCAGGGGGTGAGATTATTCACCAGAGACAGAGTGGGGAGCAGAACAGGCAGATGTACTGAGGGGAGCAGCAGGCGAGACAGGAGAGGTCTGCTGCGCCATGTGGGTCACCTGCCTGGCCTGGGATCGAACTCGTGCTGCAGTGGCTGCCGATAGCTTCATAGTGCTGCATCTTAACTCCTTGCACCTCCAGGGACATGCCTAAATAGTCAATAATCATTTACCAAATGAATGTATGTGACTGCTGTCTGTCTTTCAGTCTTGTCTCTCACCAGTGTTGTCTTCAAATCTCATGTCCTAGTGATAATGAACTACCTGGAAGTTTTCCACTCATTTTTGCTTTCTTTTGATACCTTTGAACTTGTTGCCCTTTCTGCTCAAAATATAATTCATCCAGCTTGATTGAGATGTAATTAACATATATACAGTTTAAGGTGTACAGTGTGATGATTTGTTACACAGGTGTATTGTGAAATGATTACCACAATAAGGATAGTTAACACTTTTAATATATCCTTCATCTCACATAATTACCATTTGTTGTTGCTGTTATTATGATGAGAACATTTAAGATATATTCTCTTAGAAGTGGAAGCTTGGAGTAAAAAAATTTAGTATGGGCCTCCCTGGTGGTACTGGGGTTAAAGTCTCTGTGCTATCAAGATTTTGTCAGCCACTGCAGCATGAGTTTAATCCCTGGCTGGGGAGCTAACCCACATGGCACAGCAGACCTCTCCTGTCTCTCCTGCTGTTCCCCTCAGCAGTGTATTTCAGTAAATCTGCCTATTCTGCCCCCTACTCTGTCTCTGGTGAATCCTCTCACCCACTGCTCTTCTGGCTAGATCCCAGTTTTTTTTTTTTTTTCTTAAGAGAATACCTTTTTTTTAGATTTATTTATTTATTTATGCATATAAGAGCTGGGCTACAGGCCAGAGACACGGGGGGGTGAGAGGATTCACCAGAGAGAGAGTGGGGAAGAGAACAGGCAGACTGACTGAAACACACTGCTGAAGGGAGCAGTGGGTGAGATGAGAGGTCTGCTGCGCCATGTGGGCTGCTCCCCAGCAGGCCAGGAATCGAACTCGTGCTGCAGAGGCTGCAGTTTGCTTCATAGTGCAGTGCTTAACCCCTCGCGCCAACCAGGGAGGCCCTAGACCCCTGTTCTCATGTGCATAAATAAATAAAATAAATCTTTAAAAATAAATAAGTAACTTACCACTTGCTAATGAATGAGAACATCTGCTGAAATCCATAGTTACCATGGTGTAACTTAGATCCCCAGAATTTATTCCTCTAATAACTGAAAGCTGTACCTTTTTTTAAAAATTTATTTATTTATAGATACAAGAATTGGGGTACAGGCCAGAGGTGTAGGGGGTGAGCGGTTTCACCAGAGACAGAGTGGGGAGCAGAATAGGCAGACTGACTGAAATACACTGCTGAGGGAAGCAGAGGGCCAGAGGACGAGACAGGCATGATCTGCTGTGCCATATGGGTAGCTCCCTGACAGGCAGGTGATAGAACTCATGCTGCAGAGGCGGTGGATAGTTTCACAGTGTTGTGCTTATCCCCTTGTACCACCAGGGAGGCCCTGAAAGTTGTACCTTTTAAAGACATCTCCTAATTTTCACTTCTCCCCAGTCTCTGGAAAACATTCTACTCTGATTCTGTGAGTTTGGCTTTCTTACATTCCATAGTTAGTGAAATCATATAGCATTTGTATTTATCTTTCTTTGACTTATTCCACTTTATATAATGCCCTCAATGTTGTCACAAATGGCAGATTGCCTTTTTCTTTATGACTAAATAATGTTTTGATTATTAAGGAAGGTCTCCTGGAGGAGATGGGGCTTGTGTGGTCTTGAGTATGATTTAAGTTTGAATTGACTGAAAGAAAGAAGTGATACTGTTGGGGGGAGAGGATGTCCTGAGAAAACTCCATACAGGTTTTGTGGACTCCACCCCCACTTCAGCAAGACACTGGGAACTACAAATCCCATGATGACCAAAGGGAGGGTTGGGAGGACCTGAGGGCAGAGTTAAGCAGCCATGTTTTCTGTTTGGGTTTATAAGCAGCCATGTGAGCTGAGGTCGTCTTCTTGGCCCCACGTACCTTGGCTTTTCGCCAGCTCTCTCAGTGGGTCATTGGGATTCCAGGTCAGCGGAACAGATAGGATGCATTTACGAATTTATCTCCCTCTTTTTCTCCCTGAGTTATTCATTTCCTCATTTTCCCTTCCCTTGTAAATAAATCTTTTATTAACCTTTTGTGTATGTCTGCAGTTTAGCATCAATAAGTCCCCTTTAAACCTGTGGGTGAGAACCCACAGTCAGGCAACCCATTTCAAATTGGGTACCACTGAAGCTGAGAGATCAGTCAGTCATTCATTCTAAGTTAGATCACACTTGAGAAATGTCAAGTTCTATGTCAAGCTCAGTGTCAAAACTACAGGGATAAATAAGACAGGTTGTTCACAAATCAGAAACCTGAAAACATGATCTTATGCTCACACCTCACAGGTTGGTTCTGCTGTTAATTTAAATGTACAATCACAAAGGTTTATTCTGCCCCTGCCCTGCCCCTACTTGAAACTGCATCCTTCTGAATATTTTCAACCTTATCCTTCCTCTTAATCACCTTCACTAATATTCACCAAAATTTATTTGTCTACAAGTTACTTGGTCTTTTTTTTTTTTTTTTGTCTGTTTATGTTTTGGCTCCATGAGGGCAGGGACCAATTATTTCTATCTCATTCACTGCCATGGCATTTAGCACTGGGCCTGTCACATAACAGGCACTCAATAAATATTGAATGAAAGAATGAATAAAGAGGGGCCTCCCTGGTGGCGCAAGGGGTTAAGTCTCAGCATTGTAAAGCTATCTGCAGCCACTGTAGCATAAGTTCAATCCCTGGTGAGGGAGCTAATCCACATGGCAAAGCAGACCTCTCCAATCTCACCTACTGCTCCCCTCAGCAGTGTATTTCAGTAGATCTGCTGGTTCTGCTCCCCACCCTGTCTCTGGTGAATTCTCTCACCACCAGCCCCCTTCCCACCTCTATCTCCCAGTAACTCTGGCCTACACCCCAGTTCTGGTATGCATAAATAAATAAAATAAATCTTAAAAAAAAGAATGAATGAAGAGCTCTTTCTCAAGAGCACCTCATAGGCTGGAAGACAGATGTAAACAATGATAATGATAGAGCCTTGGGGGTGATACTATATGCACAGAATGCTGTAAATAGGAAACTAGGAAAACAAGGTGGTTAAAAGCAGTTAACACTAAAGATGAGTGGCAACATTCAACTCCAGATTCTGCTATTTACTGAGCAACCCTGGCGAACTTTGTTAACCTCTCCAAACCTTGCTAGAATTGGCAAAATAGATATTCAAATTATGACCATATCATGGTTATTTGTGAGAATTAAATGGGTCATTAAATGTAAAGAGCCTGTCACATGCCGATGCATAGGAAATGGTAGCTATTTTATTTTATTTTTTAAAGTCTGCATTTTTTTAAAGATTTATTTATTTATTTATTTATTTATTTATTTATACAAGCACTGGGTACAGTCAGAAGCGCGGGAGGGTGAGAGAATTCACCAGAGCCAGAGCGGGGAGCAGAACAGGCAGAAGGACCAAAGTACACTGCTGAGGGGAGCAGCGGGCGGCAGGAGAGGTTTGCGCGCCATGTGGGACCCTCCTCCAGTGGCCAGGGAGCATCCGGGGATCGAACCGGTGCCACAGAGGCTGCGGGCAGCTTCGCAACCCAGTGCTCAACCGCTGCGCCACCAGGGAGGCCCGGTCGCTATTTTATTAATGGAAGATTGTGAGTTCTTAGGAGCGCTAGTCAAGATTTACAAGTTCACATATGTAGACTGAAAAAAAATGTTGGCCCCTTAAAGAGTTACAGTTAAAACTGTAAGATCAGAATTGACCTTTTTAAAGTGACTACCCCTGGTCTCATTTATCTTACCAACATTTTCTTAGTTTTTTCTTTGGAGGAAAATAATTAATTATTCAAAACAGTACCAGTTGGAAAATAACAGGTGATACCAGGGACTAGGGTGACGGTCCTGTTCTTTTTACCACCAGAGGGCACTGATCAGTCAATCAGGACCTGTCATTATGAAACAACCTGAGCAACATCTAGGAAGCTGTTTCTGCCATTCATTCTTTTGACAAATATGTTTTGAGTACCTATCAGGTGCCAAACATTGTAGTAGCTTGTATGTGGTTATAAACAAGGCCTGTTGTCCTTATGGAATTTATACTCTGTGTGGGTGAGGGTGGGGTTAAAATTTGTTATTTTTTTGGTTGTTGTTGTTATCCTCTTCTTGCCATTGGCTATAAGCACTGAGAACAATTACTTAGTGTCTACTTTGTGTCCAAGGTATGCCCTGTTGCTGAAGATCCAGGGATGAATAAGACACAGTTGCAATCTACTAATAAACAATGTCTTACCTCCTAGGATAAAAAGGGATGAGACAGCTCTGTGGAATTCTAGTTCCTCTGACCTGAGCATAGGGAGCCTTAAGTACACAACTCATTAATGCATTAGGATGTTAGCCTCCTAGGCAGGTGTATGTTTATTAGTCACCCAGTTTAGGGTCATGGTCACTGTGGATAGTTAGTTTGAGTTTGAGAGTTGATGCAAGCCCAAGGAAAGGTTTCTGGTTTGGTTGTCAGTTATAGTGATTTATGCTAAGAATTTACCATCTTCTGGATCAGGTTGAGGTTACAAAGAGTATATGTGGGTGAGATACTTTGAAGATGAACTTTTCGCCTATTTGTCTACTCATGGTCTTGTTATTAAAGGTATCAACATCATCTCCCACATTTCCAGGCCAACAACAATCTTTTTGTTCCTTGAGTTGAGGTAGAGGGGTAGTCAGAACCAGTCATAGACCCTGTTTTGGGAAGGGGGACTGCAGTGACAAGACATTCCCCCTCATCTGGAGTGCACTCTAATTCCAGAGGAATTTGGTCTGTTCACCTACAGGGTAGAATTGAGAGGTGGGGAGTGATTCTTTGAACTACTGAGATCTCAGATCTCGGAAGAAAAAAAAAATTAAAAAAAAGGTGTGTGGGGGTTTCCTTCGGTGTGGATTGGATATAGTGGCTTTTTTTTCCCCTTGGATTATAGTATAGAAAGGAGGTCAAAAAAAAAAAAAAAAGGTAGTTGTAGGGCTTCCTTGGTGGCTCAAGGGGTTAAGCACTGTGAAGCTGTCCGTGGCCTCTGGGCCTCTGAAGCATGAGTTCGATCCCCAGCCTGCCAGGGAGCTACCCACAAGGCACAGCAGACCTCTCCTGTTCTGCCTACTGCTCCCTTCAGCAGGGTATTTCAGTTAGCCTGCCTGTTCTGTTCCCCATTCTTTCTCTGGTGAATCCTCTCACACACCACCCACCTCGTACCTCTGGCCTGTACCTCAGTTTTTTGTATGCATAAATAAATAAAAATCTTAAGAAGAAAAGCAGTTTTTTTTGGAGGGTGAGAGAATTCACCAGAGCCAGAGCAGAGAGCAGAACAGGCAGACTGACGAGGTACAATGCTGAGGGGAGCCGGGGGACTGCAGGAGAGGTCTCCACGCCATGTGGGACCCCCGGTGGCCAGGGATCGAACCAGCACTGCAGAGGATGCGGGCAGCTTTGCAACCCAGCGCTCAACCACTGCGCCATTCAGGGAGGCCCAGAAAAAGCAGTTTTATATGGAAGATACCTGACATTGGAGATACCTAAGGCAGGTGATGTCATCTGATATTATGTGCCTTTGATGTGATGAAAATGTCATCTTAGCTCTGTCACTTTCCCCCAAAACCCATAATTCCATTTTAATTCTAAGAAAAAAATCACAATTCCTAATTGAGGGACATTGTGCAACATAATACTCGTGCTTATTAAAACTGTCAAGGTCAGGGCCTCCCTGGTGGCATAGGGGTTAAGCTTCCTTGCTATCACTACCTAGGCCTGAGTTCCATCACTGGCCAGGGAGCTAACCCATATATGGTACTGCAGATCTCTCCTGTCTCACTTGCTGCTCCCCTTAGCAGTGTATTTCAGTAGATCCACCTGTTTTGCTCCCTACTCTGTCTCTGGTGAATCCTCTCATCCCCCATTTCCCCCAGCACCTCTGCCCTACATCCCAGGTCTTCTATGCAGAAATAAAAAATAAATCTTAAAAAATAAAACTGTCAAGGTCATCAAAACAAGGAATGTCTGAGAAACTGTCAGTCAAGAGGAAGCTAGGAAAACAGGAAAATTAAATTAAATATAGTGTAGTGTCCTTGATAAGCTCCTAGAACAGAAAAAGGCCATTAAGTGAAAATGTAAGGAAATGTGAGTAAAGACTTTAGTTAATAATAATGAACCAATCCACATTATTACTATGAGTAGTGCTATACATAAATACTATACTAATGTAAGGTGTTTAATAAGAGAAAATTGGGTGCCTGGTTTTTGGGAACGCTGTCTTGTCTTCTCATTTTTTTTTTTATAAACCTAAAATTGTAGTTTAAAAAAAAAAAGTCTACTAAAAATTGGAGGGGTGGTATCCGGAATACAACTTAGGCTTTTACAATTTTTTTCTTTCTTTAAAGTTCCTATTTATGGGTCATTTACCAAGTGCCAGTCACTGTACTAAAAGCTGTATGTAACTCTCATTTAGACTTTACAATTGCTTGTGTTGGGTATAATTAAAAACTCTTTCACAGAAGCAGGAGAAAAGAGAAGAGGTGCTATCATGTAAATGGTGGAGCCAGGGCTAGAACCAAGGATCTTTCTGATCTTTCCAAAATTCTAAGTGTGTGGAACTCACACTTTATCTGACCTTTCTAGGAAATGTTTCAGCAGCTATCCTAAGGGCACGCTTTCCTGAGAAAAAGGGATGTGCTAAATCGTGGAGGTTGAGGCTGTCTCTACATCTCACTTCAGTCCTTATTATCTCCAAAGTCCAGTTTTAGGTTAAGTTGAAAGATCCTGCAGGCGTTCGAAGTTCAACCACAGTACGCGTCAGTCTACAAATGGGTGAACTGCGGGTTAGCCAGAGCAATTGCCCCAAATCATAGAGAAGGGCCAGGAACGCAGGCTGAGTCCTTATTTCTTTCTTTCCCACAACTTCCACGTTGTAGTTAGCCAGGGAAGTAGAAATTGGCCCGTCTACCGTCCCATTCCTCAGATGGAAAGCCGCCCCCCCACATGGGTGCCACGCCGCCCTCCAAGCGCGCAGTCGGGGGGCGCTGGACTGGGGGGGGCTGTGGGGGCGCTTCTCGGCGAGGACCAGCTGAGCGCAGGGAAGGCCGGTTCCGTGTCAAGGGAAGAGGCCTACAGAGACCCCAGGCTCCTCGGGGGACGCCTGTGGTTACACCTCGAAGGCAGAGCGCGGTGACAGCTCTAGGCCCGGAGGCCCCTTCCCGGGCGCTCCTCGGGGAGGGCGGCGTCGAGCCGCACCACCGTCATTTTTGGGTCCCAGCGGCGACCCTTGGCCTCCGCAGACGCTTGGCCCTTTAAGGGCGGGGACCACGCGCCGGCGTCACAAAGCGCCGCCGCCGCGCCGGGCGGCCGGAGAGACCGGGAAGTAGGAGGAGGGGGAGGAGGAAGAGGAGGGGGAGGGCGGGGGAGGGCGCGGACGGAGGAGGGAGGGGCGCGCGCACGCGCGTCGGGCCTCCCGCCGCCGAGAGCCGCCCCCCCGCCCGGCGCGGGCCCCTCCTCCCTCTCGCCCTCCCTCCTTCATCTGGGCTCCGTCGCTCCCGCGGCGCGCGGCGCTCTAGCTCCTCGCCTCCTCCGCCGCCGCGGCCGCCCCTCCCCCCGCGCCGCCGCCGCCGCGAGACCCCCGCGAGCCGCGCTCCCCCGCCCGCCGGCCCCGCGCGCCCTCCGGCCCCGGCGGCCCCCGAGGAGAGCGAGCGGGCGAGCGAGCAGCGAGCGCGGCGCTCCCGGGCCGCCAGGCCCCCTGCCCTCCCCGCCGCCGGCCTCCGCCGCCCTCCGCCGCGTCCGCCCCTCTCCCCCCCCGCCCCGCGTTGAGGCCCCCTCCGGGGGGGGGGAGGCCCGGGACCGAACCCGCCTAACTCCCGCGCCCTCCCCCGCCCGGCCCGAGCGTGAGGAGGAGGCCCGGCCCGCGTCGAGAGCGAGGAGGACCCGGGCCGGCCCGCGGGCCGTCTGGGGCCTGGTTCGGCCGGCCGCGGGGTGAGGACCGCGGCCCGGCGCCGCCCGCGCCCGCGGCGAGGGGCGAGGAAGGGCCCGTCCGGCCCGGCCGGAGCGCGAGGACTGGGGCCCGGCCCGGCGCGCCGCCGCGATGGCCCAGCAGCAGATGACCAGCTCGCAGAAGGCCCTGATGCTCGAGCTCAAGTCCCTGCAGGAGGAGCCGGTGGAGGGCTTCCGGATCACCCTGGTGGACGAGTCCGACCTCTACAACTGGGAGGTGGCCATCTTCGGACCCCCCAACACCCTCTACGAAGGCGGCTACTTCAAGGTACCCCCACCCCCCAGCCCCGGCCTCCCCGGGCCGAGGCCTCCCTCGCGGCGGCTCGCGGCTGTTTTCGGGCCGCGGGCGTGAGCGCGGGGCGCGCCGGGGGGCTGCTCGCCCCGGAGCCCCCTCCCCCACCCGCGGAGGCAGGAAGGCCTCGCTCACCCCGGGCTTTTCTTTGTCATGGGGCGGGGGCGGGAGGCCAGGCTGCGCCGGGAAATGGGAAAGCCTCTGTGCCTCGGCTGGCGGCTACGGGGGGAGGAGGGCTGTCTTTGTTTTCTTCCCCGGCCCAGGGTGTGGGGGAAGCGAGGGGGTCTGGCCTGGCGCTCTTGTCCTGCCTTCGGAACCATCCCGGCGCGGTCTGGAACTGCCCCAGAGGGCAGGGTGACCTGCACTGACTGGATTGGACCTTTCTTTTTTTGGGGGGGGGGGGGAAGGGGGGGGAGGGGTACTAGCTTGTCATTCTAGAGGCTGCCTGGTGACCTGACATTTTGAGGATTTGATGAGCTTCTTGCGTAGTGGTAGTGCCAACTTTGGCTTCCCGTGTGCAGGGAGGAAGAATAAGGACCCTGGGAATGGTAAACAAGGGTGCCTGCGTTCCCTTGCCATGATCCACGGCGAGGGAACTTGAGTGTAGCTCCCTTTCTGCCCTCATCCTGTATTGGCTTCAGTGGTGCCTCAAAACGTCCTTTGTCCTCACCGTGCCACCAGCTTTACTGTCTTTTTTTTTTTTTTTTTTCCGCCCCCTTCGTGTACAAATATTCACGGAACGGAACATGTTATGCAGGGAGGTTGGGAGTTCTTCCCGCTGGAGAGACAAAGTTGAAGCCCTTTGCTCTGGTGGCTGACTAGTAAATGGGTGGTCTCACGCATGAAAAGTATTCTTTGAGGTGAGCTGGTTTCACAGAGAAGGACAGCTTCGACGGGACCGTCCAGACAGACATGTTTCCATTGTTTTCCATGATTTTAGAACCGTGGTTATCGTTTCTGGGTCCATTGCTCTTTCTTATTCCAAGGCAGATAATTTGTGATAGAGATTTTGTTGTTGTTTATCTGTTTTACCGTTCTCGAAGGTACTAATCACAGAGTAAGGTTGAATGTTTTGAAACGATGGGCAGACACAGAAGAAAGAAATGCTTGGGAATACATTTAATTTTTTTTTTTTTTTAATTTCTAAAGTTAAGTAAAACAGAGCAGTGAGTCAACAAAACAATCTTGTTTTGAAGGGAGGGGTTATCTTGGCAGAAGTTTAAATGAGCATCTTAGTCATGTAGTTATGATGTGTATTTTTAGGACTACCCCATTACTTTTGCTTCCTTCCCCTTCTAAAGGTAGAAACCTCAGTTTCAGTCTTGAAATTGGGTCAGCTTTGTAGAAAATATGAAGAAATGATGGAGCATTTAATATTCGCGTAGTAAAAGTATTTGTAATTGCATTGTCTTTACCCACCAGCTGTTTGCTTCATCTGTATGGTCACCATACACTATACTTTTCAGATGCAAATATTTGGCATCTCTAAGTAAACGTATGAATTATTAGGGACCCTCATTAAGTATAATGAATACATACTTAAGTATGTATTAAGTATAATGAATACATACATTTACGGTGCTTTAATATATATACACGTGGGTGCTCAGAATTGAATTTATGTGATAACTTTTCTATTTAGCAAGTCAACAGGCTAACTTGAGTGGATTCAAGTTTAACATTCAAAAAGTATCATTGTTTGGGACAATTGATAGTTAAGGTAGATGAAATGAATAGGGCATAGAATAATTCACTACAATGCTGTTGTTTAAAAAACAAGAAATGTGAAAGGAGATAATTGTAGTGTTTTTGTTTGAGTAACAAGGGATGTAGAAACCCTGTCAGCTTGGAGTAGGTAGTATGGAAAGATTTTCTGAGGCATACACTAAATTGTTTTTTAATTTCAGTCCTATTGAAAAGAATGTTTTAATTTTGTTTTTACCTTTAATTGTGACATATATACAGAATGTATGAAAGTTCTTGAACAAATTTTGTGCTTTAGTCTTGTTGAGAATTTTGTTCAGTTGCATTTTCGTCTACTTTTTCCCTCCTACTCTATTTTTCACCTTTCGTATGGCTATTTATTCCAATAGTGCTTCATTGGGAAATGGCAAATTTATGGTCTTGAGCAGTTAACACTGATGATTAGTTTAGAACTGTTGTGTGTTTTTTTTTTAATTTCATTGCTTTTGTCTTAAAACAAGGCTTTTAGTGTTCCACTACAGCTGCAGTTAAATGTTGGCACAGAGCTTTCTCTACCCTATTATCCCTTATCAAATGATACTCCTTGGGCATTTAGTATAATTTATTTTCAAGTTAAACTCTCTTCTCTATTTTGCATAAAAGTTTCTGCATCCTTTAACTTTTATATATTTTAATAGAGTGCTAACTCATCTTTTTCACCATAAGATTGTTAACTTGACTTCCTTTTGTGATGGAGACTTGTTAGACCTGTATTTCAGAAAGTCTTTTGATTTATTTTGCTCTTATTTATTTTTTAAAACTATCTTGAATCCATGTGTGATTATTAGCTTTGGGAATAAATGGGTGTAAAATGGCAGGGATAGCTTCTTGTGTCCTGCATATATACCTCGAGTTTTTTGCTTTGTTGCGTTTTGTCCAATTTCTTTATCTCATTGACTTACTGATTGAATTGCTTTGTTGCATTGAATTTTTCCTTGAATTGTAAAGGACCATGCAGGAGACCAGTAGACCACTGAGATCACCTATGAGCTTAATTTTGTTACTGTGGAGTAACTTGGAATTTTATTATGTTACTACGAGAATAAAATGTTTATCAAGTCAGCACCCCAGTTCCTACAAAAAGAATTATCTTTGCAAATTTCTCCTGATGATGATTGTAATTTAGCGTGCTGCTTTAGTGTAGAACCTCCCTGGCACACCTATGTTATTTATCTAAAAGCATGATAGCAGCCAGTAAATTTTAGAGCTCAGAAAGTGAGTGTTTTCATGATGTGCATAAAATGAAAACTTGAATAATGTGGAAGCCTTAAAGTGCTGGGTTTTTTTCCTTCATTTTTTTAAAAAAATTTTTTATTTGTTTATGCACACAAGAGCTGGGTACAGGCCGGAGATGCAGGAGGGTGAGAGGATTCACCAGAGACAGAGTGGGGAGCAGAACGGGCAGATTGACTGAAAACACTGCTGAGGGGAGCTGTCGGCGAGTCAGGAGAGGTGTGCTTCGCCATGTGGGTTGCTCCCTGGCCGGCTGGGGATTGAACTCGTGCTGCATAGGCTGTGGATTGCTTCACAGTGTGGTGCTTAACCCCTTGTGCCAACAGGGAGGCCCTCATATTTTTTTAAAGATTTATTTTATTTATGCATACAAGAGCTGGGTGTAGGCCAGAGGTGAGAAGAGTTGGGGAGTGAGAGGTTTCACCAGGGACAGAGTGGGGAACAGAACAGGCAGATCTTCTGAAATACACTGCTGAGGGGAGTAGGGTCGAGACTGGAGAGGTCTGCTGCACCATGTGGGTTAGCTCTCTGGCTGGAGGTTGAACTTATGGTGCAGTGGCTGCAAATTGCTTCGTAGTGCTGAGACTTAACCCCTTGTGACACCAGGGATGTCCCATAATTAATTATGGGGTCCCATAATTAATAACTTTGCAACATGTTGATTTCTCTTTTTCAGAGTTTATGAATATGAATGATCTTCATAAAAATCTTCATAAAAATAGAATTATGAGGTATAGGTGTTACAGATAGGATTGTAAGTCGTCATTAAAATAAAAACTTAAAGTTTCAAGGCCAGTTAGAGCACTTGTCAACATAACCACAGTCTATCATGATAAAATGTTCTGTTCCATCTTTGCAACTTACAATCATCCTTGTTCAGGTTCCAGAAGAACCTGTCTATTGGATGCAGGTGAAAAATGAACCATTTTACAAATTGGCCTACCTCAGCTAATTTAGTTGTGGGGGTGATAACAGTGATGAAGAGTTACAAATCCATGGTTTAGAACTCTAGAATTCAGTCTTACTTGAAAGATCATATTTAAAAGATTTATTTATTTTATGTCCTTGAACAGCTTTTGAACTATTTCACATAATAACTATAGATTTTCATGTAGATTGAACTTCTTTGAATTGGTTCTGTCAATGCAGAACTAATTACTTCAACTTTACTCAGTTTATACTTACAGACCTATTTTTTTTAATGATCTTATTTTTATTTATGATACAAGAACAGGGGTGTAAGCCAGAGGTCTGTGGGGGGGGGGTGAGAGTATTCACCAGAGAGTGTGGGGAACAGAACAGGCAGATCTACTGAAATACACTGCTCAGGGGAGTAGCAGGTGAAACAGGAGAGGTCTGCTGCGCCATGTGAGTAGCTCCCTGGTTGGCCAGGGATGGAACTGGTGCTGTAGAGAGGCTGCTGACAGCCAGCTTCACAGTGCTGTGCTTAACCTGTTGCACCACCAGGGAGGCCCTCTAAAGATTTATTTTTATTTTGTTTATGCATATAAGAGACAGAGTGGGGAACAGAACAGGCAGACCGACTGAAATACACTGCTGAGGGGAGCAATGGCGAGACAGGAGAGGTCTGCTGCGCCACGTGGGTAGCTCCCTGGCCTCCGGGGATCGAACCCTCACTGCAGAGGCTGTGGACAGCTTTACAGTGCTGTGCTCAACCCCCTGCATCACCAGGGAGGCCCCCCTTTTTTTAAGATTTAAAAAATTTATGCATACAAGAACTGGGGTGCAGGCTGAGGCTCAGGGGGCAAGAGGACTCTCTGAGACAGTGGGGAGTAGAACAGGCGGATCCACCAAAATACAGTGCTGAGGGGAACAGCCGGCGAGGTGGGAGAGGTCTGCTGCAGTGGCTGGCCATGGCTTGACAGCGCTGAGACTTCAACCCCTTCACCACCAGGGAGGCCCCTGTTGCTTTTATTTTATATAGAAAAATAATCACACAGCCCTCATTTCACCTGCCCATGTCTCAGCTAGTAATACCA